CCGACGTCTTGAAAGGGATATAATTCCATAATATTTGAGTCTAGAATTATACGAGGTAAGATGTTTACATTGATTATCCGAAAAAGCAAGATGGTAAAGAATTCTTTTTTGTACTTTCTCTAATCTCATATTGTGAACCTGGTACTTAGGATTCCAAACGGGGCTACAATATTCAAGAATACTCCGTACAAAACTATTATAAAGCAGAATGGCTATTTCAGAGCATTTGAAAAAATTATTTTGTCGTAATAATTTATTATAAAACCTGTAAGTTTAATACCTCTAGTTACTATTGCACTTATATGTTCGCGGTAGTCTAGTTTTTTGTCTAGTATCACTCCCAAGTCATTCAGCTGAGATACTTCTTTAAGTTGAACGCCATTAATGCTATAAAAGGCTTCTATTGGCTTTCTTTTTCGCGAAAATTTGATGTGTGCACATTTAGATACGTTGAGAACCATGTTATTGCAAGTACACCAATCAGAGACAGCATTAATGTCGTTTTGTAGGCATTTGATATCGTCCACCGATTTAATGATTCTATAGATTTTAAGATCGTCAGCGTAAAGCTTATATTGTGACGTAATGCATTCACTAAGATCATTAACGAAAATCAAAAAGAACAAAGGACCCAAATGGGAGCCTTGAGGAACGCCTGAAGGTACTACTCTTGATTTAGACTTGAATCCGCGTAGCATAACGAGTTGCGAACGGTTTCTTAAGTAGGAATCGCACCACCTCAACAAAGACCCACAGATACCAGCGTGTTCTAATTTATTAATGAGTATATCGTGGTTCACGACATCAAAAGCCTTGCTAAAGTCAGTGTAAATTGCATGTACCTCATAACCCTCCTCAAGCGCAAGTAAAATATCGTTTGTGTAACTTAGTAAATTGGTTGTTGTAGATTTTCCTGGCAGAAAACCGTGTTGATGGGGATCTATGGTGTGTTTAAGGTGAAAGTATATTGTTTTCTGGATGAGGGATTCGAAAAGTTTGGGTATGGCTGAGAGTATTGAAATTGGCCTGTAGTTACTAATATCGTTTAGATCTTCCTTTTTGTGTATTGGGGTGATATGTGCTAGTTTCCATAGGGCGGGGAAACATCCGTTTGACAATGACTTATTAAAAATAATTGTTAGTGGAGATGCAAGTTCTATTGCACATTTCTTTAAGAAAGTGGGAGGTATACCATCGGGCCCCGCTCCCTTCGTATGGTCTATAGCCTTAAGGGCCTCCAACACTTCTTTCACAGTAATGCAATAGTTGCTAAGATTAGTACTGTTCTGTTTTAAAGTTCTGATACTAGAACATGGAGGTTTGCGAGTGTCGTATGTGGAATGAAAGTATTGAGAGAAGAGTTCACTTATGTCCTGACCACCTTGAACAACTTGTGCGTCTAGAGACATTTCATCAGGAATTAAGGAACTATTTCGTTTCATATTATTTATAAATGTCCAGAAATATTTAGGATTTTTAATAATATTTGTTTTGGTAGTCGACTTAAACTTATTTAGATCTTCAGTGAGCATTTTATCGCAACGCGAGCGAAGCATATTGAATGTTAATCGATCTAAAGGGTTATTATGTTTTTTAAATTTTTTATGATAATTCGCTTTTTCTTTTAAAGACTTAATTAATGAAAAGCTAAACCAAATTGGGTATTTATTTTTACTTTTTCTTGTCAACGGTGTGTGATTAGTAATTACGGGCATAATTAGGCTATAGAATATATCTACCATTACGTCCACATCACTGATTTGTTCCAAATGTGCAAACCAGTCTATTTTTGATATTTCTTCCCTAACAGCAGCATAATCTGTCTTATGAAAGTTATATGTTTTATGAAAGTTAAATTTTGGTCTTTTCGTTAACTTAATGTTTAGGGTAATATCCAGAGCGGGGTGATGAGTATCTTGGTTCACTAAGGGATTGAGGTTTTGCGACACGTTTAGGCAGTTGCGAGTATTAGTAAAAACCAGATCCAGAATACGAGAATTCTGATTAAGGATGTTATTCATTTGTTGTAGATTATTAAATGCCATAGTATCGCAGAAGAGACATTCCACCTCACTGGACATGTTAACTGGGACAAAAGAGTTAGATGCACTGTCATAATTCCAATGCAAGTTAGATAGATTAAAGTCACCTAACAACAGTATTCGCGATTCGTCACTCAGGTTGTGTATCGTTTCCGTTATATTCGATAGCAGGCGTTCCATACACATATAGTTAATAGGTGGAGCTAAGTATACTGCACAAATAATGAGTTCGACAGCAGAATGACCCTTTGTAATCTTAACTGTCGCCCAAATGATTTCATCCAATTTCGACTCCCACTTAAATTTACGAGAAGGCTGTAGTCCCTTTAGAATTGCAATCATTACTCCGCCCCCGTCTGTTTTAGAGCTACCAGAAGTAGAACGATCACGCCGGAATATATAATACCTGTCATCCAAGATTTCATAGTCGTAAACAGTATCGTTTAGCCACGTTTCAGTTAATACAATAATGTCATAATTAAATTTCAATGCATTAGTCAGTATGGTATAAGTTTTAGTTCTAAGACCTCGAACATTTTGGTAATATAGTTTAAGATTGAATTTTGAACAAAATGTGCTAAATAGCATGGTAGAAAAAAAAAAACAATTAAATAAACTCAAACTACGGCTTTTAAATAGTCCATGTTCTTCACCAAATGTGCTCTTGAATTTGCATCTTTTCTAATAAAAATACGACCATTCCTGACCCAGACAAAATCATAATTCTTCTCTTTGGCGACTTTGCGAGCAGCAGCATGTAGTTGTTTGTTTATCGGAGATAAATGTTCACAGACGAAAATGGGTATTTTCTCTCCAGCAATTCCCAAGTGCGACGTATTTAATTTATCTTTTTCGTTTGCTTTATTGTAGGATTTAATGGCTCCAAGAAGATTATCGCGTACACGTGGACTGGAAAGCTTGACGACAATTGCACGGGGCCTGTTACTATCGGCATTGATCTTAGCCACTCGATGGTAGTTTTGTATGTCATTATCGGCCATTTTATAGCCCACCACTCTGGAAAGTTGCCGGATTGTCGTTGACAGGTTCTCCGATTTGTACTCTGGAATACATTGGATTTCAAGGTTGCATTCTCGTGATTGTTGTTCCAGCTGATTTAATCTGGATGTCAGATCATTTACTTCCAGACGTAGAACTTGATTCGTGTTTTGTAACTCATTAATTATTTCTACTTTACTTTCTAAAAGCCCTTTTAAATCTTCATATTTTGCAGCAAGGAAGTTAATACTCTGCGTGAGCTCATTAATTGCGGATCGCGTTTCAGATCCCTCTGATGAAAACTGTTGCTTGAGGCTTTTGGTAGAATCAGCTAGTTTATCATCAATGTATTTCTTCAGATCTGCGATGTCCGTGGATGATGATGGAGTTATATGAGAGGTGGACCTCACGGGAGTGTTTGTGTTATCGCCACGTTTCTCAACGGGTTTACACTGAGGGCACTTCCATGTTGATTTATAAGCTTTTGACTCTTTTGCATAATTTTCAGTCGAGAGTCCCAAACATTGGTAATGGTACACTCCTTTACATTGAAAGCATGATTTGATCTCAGTAGACTTCACCTGCTTGTTACACCCCAGACATGTATTCATCTTAAAATAGATAGTTGTTAATTTCGTCAATTTAATATCGCCCCAAAAATAGGGGAATAATTTTAATAACGGCAACACTGAGTTTGAAATAATGTCAGACTAAACCGACTACTGACAGCGACAGTCAAAAAAAAAAAAAAAAAAAAAATAACAGAATGTGAGGGTACTCTTTAAACACATATGACATAGACACTAAAATGAAAGTTGATAATTGTGATCTTATTTAAGTTAATAATACACTTTTTAGTGAATAATTTGACTTGCAAATAAGTACACTGAGAATGAGAATGTTTATAGTCACTTTGTTTTCACTTTTAATGCAGAATTTACACTGTTTCAATTTATTAACCGATAATAAGGTAAGGGATGTCAATCGTGTGCATGAACTTTACGACCTCTCATTTCAGAGATTAGTCGGAACAAACAGACAGACAGACAAAAATTGTATATAATATGTGATATAGGATGTATAGTAGATATATATTATATATATATATTTCAATATTTTATTTATATATCGCTATCGTATCGCATATAACGATACAAGCGATCCCAAAAACAATAAAAAAATCATCAAAATCGGTTCATCTATCATTCAACAACAAACACTCTAGTACTGACTTCCAAAACGAAACCATAGCGAGTTTTAATTTTTGTACAGCTCCATCTAGCGGTGAGGATGGGAAACTAGTTGCAAGTTGCTTTTTCTTGCTTTGTGATGTTTTAAACCCTTTCAATACGATTTGTTTATTTTAATCAATCATGTAAATTTTATAAGGGATGTTAATGGATATGAAATTTCGGATACGGATAGGTTTCGGATATAGTAATGATTATTATACCAGATATGGATACAGATGCGGATATGAAATTATTTCATATCATCCGTTACGGAGCTCCCTAACATCCCTGATGATATCCCTGTCTTCGCACGGGTGTACATATATTATACATATAAACCTTCCTCTTGAATCACTCTTATCTATTAAAAAAACCGCTTCAAAATCCGTTGCGTTTTAAGATTTATAAATGCAATACAAACATTAATTTTGGAAATTCATTTATAAATTGGGATATTCCGCCCTTATAACTTAGGGGTATAAAAAAATAACCTATTCTCAAACCTACCGACTATACTTATAGAATTTCATTAATATCACTGAAACCGTTTAGGAAGAGTATGGCGACTAACACTGAAATGAGAATTATATATCAGACTAGCTGTACATACATATGATCGGACAGACAGCGACAGCGATTTTGTTTTATACTATGTAATGATGAATTATTAAAAATTAAGTATATTCGGCATATAAATTAAAAAAATTGTCCGTCTGTTTGTTCCTAGCTGTCATACCTGAATGAGTATCACAATCGTGTGCTCTCGGTGCTGAGGCCCATACTGAAGGACAGGGGTCTGCGACAAGATCTCGAGTGGTTGCAGCGGGAGTGTCAGCCGATCGCCAGGGAATAGGTTTGTACATTTTTTTTATTTAAGTTTGTATGGATGTATGGATTGGATGTATGTTTGTTACTCTTTCACGCAAAAGTTATTGAATGGTTTTTGATGAAATTTTACAGTAATATAGTTTACTTGCTGTGCCCGTGGTTTCACACTTGGAATTTATAGCCTATATGTTATTCTAATGTATAAGCTATATTCCTATAAAGTTTCATCAAAATCCGTTCTGGTAGTTTTTGCGTGAAAGAGTAACAAACATCCATACTTACAAACTTTCGCATTTATGATATCACTTTTTCACACACACTTTACAAGTAAATATTTTGATTGTCTTTTTATAAATTGTAATTCTAACCATTGTGAATTATAAGAGGAGGGAACTAGTACCTAAAATACAAGATTCTACTCAGTTTAGATACCAACAATTTAAATTGTAGATATTGGATGCAAAATATTATTTTTTTTTACTCTCTGTTTTCACCGGTAATTTTGGTATGTGCGGGTCTAAGTCAAGTACATGTACAAGTACAATGCTATATTTTGAGGTGAATATATGTACTGATATTTATAATATCGGTCTAATCTGTTTGTAAAAATTTCTTTACAATGCGGCACGTGTTTAGAACTACAGCCTTCTGTAGTTGACAGTATATATTAGAGGGCAAGTTCAGTATTTATTGACTGATGCATCTGTTTCGTATTATTATTAAGATTAGGATTATTAACAATAAAGGATTATAAATAAATAACCCGAGCATAAATAAGTTGGGTTTTAGTTTTTAGAAATGTGTTAATTTGTTATATTTTTTTTTCAGATCTACATTGGTATTGAAAACGAGTTTAAATTAACGCTGCTGGTATAAATATGGGACAATGAACAAATGTGTACAATAAAAGTATTAAAAGTTTTATAAAATGATAATCTGCTTTTATTTTGTTTAACTAGCTTTTGCCCGCGGCTTCGCTCGCGTTAATTTTACCCCTTAGGGGTGGAATTTATCAAAACCCTTTCTTAGGGGATGCACACGTCATAGTAACTGTGTGGATGCAGTCTCAGCACGATCGGTTTAAAATTGACAGAATTTCATACAAACTTTCAATCCCTATTTTATCCCTTTGGGGGTAGAATTAATGAAAATCCTTTATTAGCGGATGCCTACGTCATAATATCTACCTGCATGCCAAATTTCAGCCCGATCCGTCCAGTGGTTTGGACTGTGCGTTGATAGATCACTATGTCAGTCAGTCACCTTTGAGTTATATGTATTTAGATTAGGGGATATTTTTTTAATCGTTTAGATCTTTGAGTTAGATAAAAAAAAATATTTAAAATCGACACAATATTCATTGTTGATTGTAAATAAAATAATAAATCTATAGTAATATATTATAGCAGAAGACTTTGTTTGTTTGGACGTGCTAATCTCAAGAATAACTGGTTCGAATTAAAATTTTGTGTTGGATAGTCCATTTGTCGAGGAAGGCTTTAAGCTATATAACATTACGCTACAATCAATAGAAGCGAAGCATCAGTGAAAAATGTTACAAAAACAGGGAAAATTATTTATATTTGAGGGCTTCCGTTGCGTGCGCGGAGCGAGCGAAGTCGCGGGCACAGCTAGTAATCTTATATATTTCTTAGTAAACCTTTGTTCTTATCATACATCAATATAGTACATTAACACAACAAGACATCTTAATTATATAGAGTGAATGATACACAGAACAACATACATAATCTATATATATAATTGAAGTGTCTGTTTGTAATATTAAAATAACCGTTTTTTACTACGTGCATAATGCATATGAATATAAATGGTACATCAAAATAACAACAATTTTTGTCTGTCTGTCTGTTTGTTCCGGCTAATCTCTGAAATGGCTGGAACTATTTTGACAGGACTTTCTTGGAAAGTAGCTGATGTAATAAGCAGTAACTTTTTATTTCAGAAAATATATTTTATTTTAAAAGAAAAGTAATGTTGCAAAATTCGACGCATACAGATATTGTATAATAAAATACTTCTTTTTCTAAATATATAGCTACATAGTATACATAGAAAACACTCAGATCAATGCAATCATGCTTATGAATATAACATTTGCATCGTGGGAGGAATCGAACCCGCTACCATCAACTAAAGCGTACTAAACCGCTAAACCAGCGAGGTGGATAGTTTGTAACATACAATCTTGATGTCACGTTATCTATAACAAACTTTATCAATAATGAATATGAATTTAAGTACTCATATGATAATATATGGTATATATTAGATATTACAGATTATCGTATGTAATATATTAGTATTTAGTTCAAGTATATAATAGCGGCGAGGAGCATGTTGGCACTCATATATTACTGGTAAGTTTTTTTATTTTTCTGATGACTCTCCGGCGATGGAAACACCAATAACTCAGTTGGCAGGTATATGTTACTAGTAATTTTTTTTACTTTTCTGATGACTCTCCGGCGATGGAAACACCAATAACTCAGTTGGCAGGTATATGTTACTGGTAAGTTTTTTATTTTTCTGATGACTCTCCGGCGATGGAAACACCAATAACTCAGTTGGCAGGTATATGTTACTGGTATTTTTTTTACTTTTCTGATGACTCTCCGGCGATGGAAACACCAATAACTCAGTTGGCAGGTATATGTTACTGGTATTTTTTTTTACTTTTCTGATGACTCTCCGGCGATGGAAACACCTATAACTCAGTTGGTAGTTATATGTTACTGGTAAGTTTTTTATTTTTCTGATGACTCTCCGGCGATGGAAACACCAATAACTCGCCCGGGTACACCAACATGCAATACAGCTGCCTACCATCATGAACTAGGACTACTGGCCGAAGGTGGTGTATCGGCGCTACCGTGGCAGATTGCCGTCGACAGTGCCATGACCACACAGACATGATCAATATATTAGTTTTATAATATTAATTCATATAGTTATTTTTGAACTTTCGTCTTTAATATACATTATTTTACATTATATACCGCGGCTTCGCACGGGTGTACATATATTATATATATATAAAACTTCCTCTTGAATCACTCTATCTATTAAAAAAAACCGCTTCAAAATCCGTTGTGTAGATTTAAGCATACATAGAGACGGACAGACATCGACTTTGTTTTATACTATGTAATAATTATCACCAGTCTACATTGACATCGCTGTTGCTCCAGTCAGCTCTTGATCACGGCTAGTGCAACCTAGTCGAAACGTCGAGATAGGTAAATAGCTTCATCTATACATATAAATAAAATTGGAGTATCTGTTTGTAATATTAAAATAACCGTTTTTTACTACATGCATATGAATATAAATGCGGTAAATACACCAAAATAACATATTTGTTAATTTTTGTCTGTCTGCCTGTCTGTTTGTTCTGGCTAATCTCTGAAATGGCTGGACCGATTTTGACGTGATTATTTTGGCAGGTAGGTGATGTAATAAGGAGTAACTTAGGCTACTTTTATTTTAGAAAAATAAAGTTTAATTCCACGCGGACGAAGTCACGGGTACAGCTAGTTTGCCATAAAATTAGTTCGTGTTAAGACCCGCTTAATAATATAAATTATTAATTCATCTGTATGTTAGTTTATAAGGTATTTATAATATGGACTATAGTAGCCTAAAATAAATAAATAAGAAAGTTGCAACGAAATGCAAAATGGTGGTCGGTGCGCTCAGTACTAATATTATCTGTGGTACTATGTTTAAACTAATATTATAAATATGAAAGTAACTCTGTTTGTCTGTCTCGCTTACACGCCTAAATTACTAAACCGATTTAAATGAAATCTGTGAAAGGACATAGGTAGCCTATGTATAGTATAGTTTATTAAATGTGTTAGTAATATTGGAAATGTGAAAACAACTCTGTCTGTCTGTCTCGCTTACACGCCAAAACTACTGAACCGATTTAAATGAAATTTGTGAAAGGACATAGGTAGCCTATGTATAGTGTAGTTTATTAAATGCCTTACTAATATTATAAATGTGAAAGTAACTCTGTCTGTCTGTCTTGCTTACAGGCCTAAACTACTAAACCGGTTTAAATGAAATTTGGTACACAGATAGTCTAGGAAGTCCCTGAGGAAGGACATGGGCTAGTTTTTAATGCAAAGATTGTAAGGGGTTGAAAGTTTAAAGTAGAAAGGTTGTATGGAAGTATCGTTTTCAAAGCTAGAACCTTTTTTGTTATAATTTTTTTTCGGTTCACATGAGAGACAAACATAAGTCTTTACAAAATACAAAAAACACACCGCTTTACGTCCGATGGTCGCGGGTTCGAGTCCTCGCACGGTACACACATTTGTATTCTTGAGTATGATTGTTTGTATCGATCTGTGTGTTTACTGTGTATATTATGTATGTAGTTGCAAAAATATGTATTGATTTGTTATCTAGTACCTAAAACACTTGCTCTGATTAGTTTGGGAGTAGCGTAATGTGAATTTTCCAGGGATATTAGTATTCTGAAAAATTATTGGAATATATATATATATATATATATATATATATATTTATATCAGTTGTCTAGTACCCATATCACAAGCTGTGCTTAACTTGAGACTAGATGGCGCTGTGTGAAGTGTCCTGAAATATTATTATCATTTTATTTATTTAATTCAGGCTTCTATTGGCCCATATTATAAATACCTTACAGACTAACATACATGTGAATGGTATTAAATTTAATATAAAAATATAATATATTTTTTTTATATATTACTAGCTGTCCCGGCAAACGTTGTTTTGCTTTAAAATAAAAAAAAAAATTAGGGGTGGACTACCCCTAATATTTAGGGAAATAGATGTTGACCGATTCTCAGGTCTACACAATACTCTCACTAAATTTTATGAGAATCGGTCAAGCCGTTTCGGAGGAGTATGGGAACGAAAACTGTGACACGAGAATTTTATATATAAAATATATAATATATGGTAATAATATATTTTGGTGTTTTGATAGTGTGGCCATAGGTCTGGTCAATGGAGAACTACATATGCGGTACTTCAACTGGGCCGAGCCAGATGGCGCCACTTCCGGTAAGTTTAATAAAATTAATTTCTATAAATTTATTGATTTCATTTTTAATTAATAAATGTAATTTTACGCATTATTCGGTTAATTTAATGTAATTTAATGTAATCATTTTATTTTATTTAGCTTTCACCAAAATAACACAAAAACTAAATTAACAAGTGAATTGACAATAATTTTTATGATTAAAATTTATCTAACACATGTTTATTTAATATGATGAAGCAATGACGAGTATGTATGTGTGTATGTATGTATGTAAGAATTATATGGAATGTGACTTTCAAATTGCCATTTTTGTTTCGAAAATTTCGTTAACAATTGTGAAAACCCTAGTGATTTCTTCCTAAAATCTATTATTTCAGTATCTTAAGTGTGCAATTCAATTTTTTAATGTTAGAAATTATGTATTACATAGCGCGGAAGGGATATAAGAATTTTTGATAGACTAAGGTGGGACATAGTAAAAAGTTTGGGAAACACTGTCTCAAGTAGAGTCAATATTTTTTTAAATTTTTTTTTTAAATTCTTAGTAATGAAATGGCATTCTGTTTTAGGTTTTGTAGATACATCCAGGATAACTATAGAGAACAGTTTGGAGCGACTGACGGCCGTACGGGCAGAACTAAAGTCCTACAATGTAACTGCTTATATAGTGCCGACATCTGATGCTCATGGTGTAAGTAAAGATTAAAATATCCAAAACAAATTGTCTAAGTATTATGTTACTTTAAATAATAAACACAGAACTCTCCAATTTTAAATATCATTATACTTCTATATCTATAGATCTTTACATAATTGATGCAACGATATGGACAGAACTTTAATAATTTTGAACACGAATGAAATAAACAATGAATAATTTCATTTAAGAATTGGCCTTTGGTCACCTTAACTATTACAAATATGAAGAAGTTTAAAAGTAGACTAGGTTGCACGGTCTAAGAATGTTTGCCTGTACCAACTTTGAAAAGATGGAAGAATATGTGGAAAAAATAATATTTAAATATGTCATTCTTAAGTGAATGATTGGCGGGAAAAACCAACAAAAAAAATGGCGGGAAAATACACTTTTAAATTAATTTCTTACATTTCCTTTAATATAACAAAAGATTCGTTTTACATATATTCGTTATATATATACATAAGAACACGGCCTCGGCAGTATAGCGGTTTATGCTATAAAAAATTGTAAATACATACATATGTAATATACAAAGAAAATATCCAGACCAATACAATCACACTCAAGAATACAAAGTTTTAATACAAACGAGGAATCGAACCCGCGACCATCGGAAATAATACGGTGTGTTAAACTGCTAGATCACGAACACATTGCTAGAAATACGACCCCTCACTCCCGTTACTAACATTTCCCCCCCTTTATCCAGTCCTCGAGCTTGTCCCCGGCGGATGCCCGTCGCGAATGGCTGTCCGGACTGTCCGGTTCATCCGGAACTCTTGTGGTGACTGACAACGAAGCACTTCTATGGACTGACGGGAGGTACTTCACTCAGTTCGAAATGCAAGTGGACACTACATTATGGACTCTCATGAGACAAGGTGAGTATCTTTCTTCCCTTCAAACTTTTCATTTATATTTGTTATAAATTAAACCTCCTAGTGAAAAAAAATTAGAATGGCCTAGTTAGGAGAGTACCTGTGTACCAACTTACCACACAGACACCCCGAGTTTGAATACCACCATTGACTTTTCCCCTCCGATCGATCCCCCGTCCAATTCAAACGGGGATCGAAATTACGACGGCCTGAGCCGAGGTTCGAACCCCTAGTGGTGCCCTCAGACTAAAGTCGTATCCGTCAGGCAGGAGTTGGCCTTCAGCCGCTCCATAAGTCTTTCCGCGGGTTTGGAGTGCCATCAGTCCGGTGAAGCTGTAAAGGCCAGCTGCGGCCAACAGCATTAGAGTAGTCCGAAAAAAAAAAGCCACGGCATTCGGTGTTTGAGCACAGGATGTGCTGGTTGTATTTTAATTGCTAAAGTGAATTGTGTTAGAGACATAGTTAAATTAATGTTATATAGTTGTTATTTTATTATAATACATACTTTTACTAGTACATAGAGTTCATATATCTTACATTTGTTAATACTTTTTTATAGTCATATCTATATTTTTAAATGTTACTGTACCAGTGTTCTTCTTTTGTTTTCATTGCAATTGATCTTTTCACATTATACAGTATACATATATATATATAGTAAATTATTGTCGTTTGTCCACAATTACCTAGTTGTATTACAATCACCATAATAACCAACTGTGATATAATAATAATAATCTCAGGACAATTCACACAGCGCCATCTAGACCCGAGTTAAGCCACTTAAAGCTTATGTTATGGGTACTATATAACTGATACATATACATAGATTTTGTTTTTGTAAATACATACATATTATATATAGAATAGAAAACACTCAGACCGATACAAACAATCATACTCATGAATACAAATGTTTGTGCCGTGTGAGGAATCGAACCCGCGACCATCGGTCGTAAAGCGGTGTGCTAGACCGCTAAACCACTGAGGTCCTAATATAAGTTCAATAAAGTTCACTCTTGACGAATAATTAAGTTATTCACCTTAGTTTTAAGCAGTAACAATTTCTTTCCAGAAAGATCTGAATTAACAATTCATTTCAGGAATTGACCTCTCAATTGATCAGTGGTTGACAGCGAATATGGCGCCAAATTCTGTGGTCGGAGTCGACCCTACCTTATACACGCGCAGTGCTTGGATTCCGTTACAGGTAATTTTTTTTAAACCAACCAGTCTCCTTATGGCAATATTGTTTGTTACCGCCAATGGCAACCGTTCGCCAGCGTGCCCCGCAAAAGCAGATTTTAGCGATTACATCGCCATTTGGTTTCAGTGAGATAACCACCACAATATATTTTTATTTAATTAATATTATAAACTTAAATATATAAATAGTAAAGATTAAATCTAATTGTAATTATGACATAAAATGTATGTTCTAGAAGTTTGATATAATCATGTTTATTATTGAGTACAAGATATAAGTTATGATTTGACCATAACAGTCCCACCTACCTACTGACTTTAAAAAGAACCACCATATCGTGTGCACAGTCCCCTCCGATCGATCCCCCGTCCAATTCAAACGGGGATCGATATTACGACGGCCTGAGGCGGTGCCCTCAGACTAAAGTCGTATCCGTCAGGCGGGAGTTGTCCTTCAGCTGCTCCATAAGTCCTTCCTTTGGTTTGGAGTGCCATTTGCACTCGTCTATCGTCCGGTGAAGCTGTAAAGGCCAGCTGCGGCCAACAGCAGTAGAGTAGTGCGAAAAAAAATTGTGTGCACAAACCAGTTCGGTTTAGACGGTCGAAGTGAAAATACATATAAGTGTAAGAAGAAATTAATATTCTCTCGTTGCTGCTGCTGCTACGTAACACGAAGGAGCCTTAAAAAAAGCTTCAGAGATGCAATATTCGAACAGTTCAAAAATTCATAAGTAATTCAATTTCTTGAGTTTCTTGTCCGTTCTTCGCATTGGATCTATACACTGAACTGGACGGTAGGGAAAACATTATAATATATACAAATTTCGCGTCACGTGGGCGATAATTTAGAGTTGTATATATTTTTCAATGTAAATCATAAAATAAAAATAAAAAAAATTGTAGATTAAATGAAAAAAAATTATAAACCTTATTCTCAGACCTACTGAATATACATATAAAATTTCATCAAAATCTGTCAAGCCGTTTTGGAGGTGTATAAATACGAAACCTGTGAGAATTTTATATACATCATTACATACTCGTAGTATAAAATAAAGTCGCTGTCGCTTGTAGTAAGTATGCTTAAATCTTTAAAAACACAAAGGATTTTGAAGCGAAATTCTATGTGTTAACAATTGGTGATTATATTAATAACGTATATTAAACATGAAAATTTAAAAGTAATGAATTCTCCCTTGTGTGAGAGTTAACATCAATATTCAAGAAAAAATCCGATATTTTAAAAATATATTAAAAGAAGGTAGTTTGTGTTTAGTACTAATGATGTACCCAATGTAAATATTATTACAAATATTATAAATAGCGCCATCTAGTATTTATAGACCGACCTACTACACTGACATCGGTCTATAAATACGGAGGTCGGTAGTTGAATAATCCTCTTTCGTTGCGCGAGCCGCGGCATTCAGTCGACGAGCGTAGAGCGTGCCGGTTGTGTTTTGGATATTGAAGTGAATTGTATCAGGAATGGGTTTATCCCGGTCTTAGTTGGACCTGAGGGGAAGCTGCAAGTGAAGGTGAGTGTTAATGCATTCTAAAAGGGCCTTTTAAACCTGCACCCGTGTCACAAGTCACGGGCGCTACTTGGGGTTTCCCTTGCGGTAACCGGCTTCAAAGCCTAAGTCGTCATTCATTATTAATGCTTCTTATATATGGTATAGACATAAGATTACAATGTAACATTCTTTTTACAGACTGCACTTGAAGCTGGTAATGTCACACTAAAGGCAATAGCAGAGAACTTAGTCGACAAAGCCAGGACAAAAATAGGCGACCCTCCGCCAGACAGACCGAACAATCCATTAATACCACTCACTAGAGAATTTACAGGTAAATACATGACCTATTGAAGTGATACTATAGACGGGATGTATTCAGGGCCGTCTTTCACCTATTAGAGGCACTGGACACAGTAGGATGAGGGGCCCCTATGAAAAATAATTTTAAAAAGTTATGTTCTGAAGAGTTCAAAGTCTTGCTAGACATTTATAAAAAAATAAATAAAAACAATCAAATTGAAATTGAGTAAGCATTTGTTAAGACTTATTTTCAGGCGAGAGTAGAGTAGCTATCGGTTATCGTTTACTAATGGAGACTAGACTAGACTAGGGGGCCCAATCCTTCGCGGAGCTCTGAGCACGCGCCCAGTGTGCCCCGTGGGGAAGAGGGGCTTGGACTGACTGACTGACTGGGTCGTCCGCTGATCCTTACGGACCGCCGGGTACGGGCCTCGAACATACGCTCCTTGCCCGGGCGTACTGCTGAGGTGTGCCACCCCAGCGTCGTTCATTTACCGGAAGCCGGCTGAGGGAATCGTGTTGCGGGAATCAGTGGTTGCTCGCCGAGCCGACTTAACGCCACGCCAACGCGTGATCACGTCACGCAAGTGACGTGATCACCCGGTGGAGAGTAGATCGCGCTGCAAAGTCGTCGAGTGTCCGCCTCTGATACCGAACTGTTCGTCATGAGGCAACAGAGTCGGTCTCAGGAGGCCCTCGAACGACTACGTCCGAGAGCAGAGTGATGGGCCGGTAGCTTGCCGGCCAGATGCTTGTCCTTGCCAGGTTTCGGGAGGACTATGTCTGGGGCCTGGATGTATTAAGATGTTTCGGTTATGAAAAAGCGTTACCTCGCGGTAGACACATATTCCGTTGTGAGAGACTGAAGGTGCAGGCGGAGAGAGGACAACGGCAGTTCGTTAGAGTTTCACAAATTAAACAAACTTATGGCAAACCTAGACCTATGCACAATAAAAGTAGATTTTTTCAAACTGAAGAGAAATCGCCACGTATTCTATGTGGTTGCAGCCCTCTCATGCATAAATGAAATGTCTCCTTTGGAAAGTGTGCGACGACGACACAATGATTCCTTCTCTTTCCCACATTTACTACAGTACCTAATCAAATTACGACCGTTATTGGATCTACATCCATATAGCTACAAGTGTTTCGCCTCAACGAGACATCGTTAGGCAATGAATAGTGCTCGGATATAATTTGAAAGTTTACTGACTTTATACAAAGTAAGTCTGTAAAAGACCCGAGTCCCCACCAACATTCTGCCCACCTTCATGAAAGAGGACTACTGGCCGAAGGGTATGGTGTACCGGCGCTACCGTGGCAGATTAGGTACCGTCGTCAGTGTCGTGACCGCACAGACAATTCATATTATTTTTTTCTATTCATTTTAATATAATTTATATTATTTTGTAAGATATTTATAATATGGGCTATTAAATAAATGAAATAAATAAATATTCTTCAATTCTTGTCCGTGACGGGTAGCGAACTCTGATAAAGGGCGAGCACAATAGCTCTATGTACGTAACAGTGCTACAGGTCCAAGCACCTGACAATAGACCGAACAACCCAATAAAAAAATTAAATAAAAGAATAGGTTTTTGTAATGTCCTAATAATGTTCCCAACTATCTTTGAAACAGGAAGAAGTTCAAGTGAGAAAATAGCAGAACTATCAAAGCAAATACAATCTGTTGGGGCGTCAGCATTAGTGTTGACTGCACTGGATGATATAGCATGTAAGTGTGTATTTTTTCTTTTTAAGATTTTTTTTTTATTTAACGGAAATGGCATACAGCCTTTTGACCTAACCGTAAATTTTGTTTACCTTGCAACCAATTACACAAAATCAATCGTATTATTTTTTAAACAAAATTATATAAATCCATTAATTAATATACGTTGGTATTATGTAATATTTATCTTATCTATGGTATAGTTTTTTTATAAAAACGTTTAATAGATAATACAACTTAAAATATTTATAATCATGACTATGATTTTTTGTATTGCTCTGGGTGTTGTCTATGTATATTTAAACTAGTCTTCTAACACCCATAACACCAACCTTCCGATCGATCTCCTTAAATTCAAACGGGGATCGATATTACGACGGCCTGAGCCGAGGTTCGAATCCCTAGAAGTGCCCTCAGACTAAAGTCGTATCCGTTAGGCGGGAGTTAGCCTTCAGCCGCTCCATAAGTCCTTCCTCTGGTTTGGAGTGCCATCTGCACTCGCCCCCTATCGTGAGGTAAACTATAAAGGCCAGCTGCGGCCAACAGCATTAGAGTAGTCCGAAAAACCATAACACCAGCTCTGCTTAGTTTAGGACTAGATGGCGCTGTGTCAGTTTTCCAGGGTTATTATTATATAAATCGGTTCCATGTGTATTATACCTGGCCTTTTAGCTTGGTAGGCATACTCTACAAATAAGCATATCTATACATATAAATAAAATTGGAGTGTCTGTTTGTAATATTGAAATAACCGTTTTTTACTACAAGCATATGAATATAAATACGGTACATACACCAAAATATACACATTTTTTACAATTTTTGTCTGTCCGTTTGTTCCGGCTATCTCTGAAATGGCTGTACCGATTTCGACGGGGATTTTTTTGGCAGGTAGCTGATGTAATAGGGAGTAATTTAGGCTACTTTAGAAAAATAAAATTAATATCCACGCGGACAAAGTCGCGGGTACAGCTATAGAGGATATATTGTTTCAGACACTCTAAACCTTCGCGGCTCCGATGTGCTCTTCAACCCGGTGTTTTTCTCTTATTTAATCATCAAAGATGTGGTAAGCATTTATATTGACGACCTCGGTGGTCTAGCGGTCTAGCCCACCGTCGCGGGTTCGATTCCTCGCACGGCACAAACGTTTGTATTCATGAGTATGATTGTTTGTATCGGTCTGGGTATTTTCTATGTATAATATGTATGTATTTCCGAAAAAAAAATTATCTATGTATTTGTATCAGTAATCTAATACCCATAACACAAACTTTAGCTAGCTTAACTTGGGCCTAGATGGCGCTGTGTGAATTGTCCTGAGATTATTATTATTATATTTATAGGGACTGGTCTGCTCTGATAACTGTGACTTATTTGTTACTTAAGTAATTATTTATTTATATTAACTTTGTATCTCAATAATGTCATATCTAGCATAGTACATCTGCTAAATATATATAACTCAAAGGTGACTGACTGACAGATCACTATGTCACCACCAGCCCAAAGCCCAAACCACTGGACGGATCGGGCTGAAATTTGGCATGCAGGTAGATATTATGACGTAGGCATCCGCTAAGAAAGGATTTTAATTAATTCTACCCCCAAGGGGATAATAAATAGGGAATTCTCAATTGAAAGTGTATACTGAACTGGATGGTAGGAAAAAAATATTAATACAAAAAACTCGACGTCCAGGCTAAAATGTGCTACATGAATAAATTATTTTTGATTTCATGGTGACGAATAAATAAATATATCTAATACAAAACTTGAGGTTCACAAGTGACTAAAATGTGCTACATGAATAAATGATTTGTTATATGATTTGATTTAATATTTTGTTTCTTTTTCAGCCCGCTCCTAACAACGTTATATTATTCTGGGGAGAGGGTGGATTACATACAAACATATCCACTCATCTCCAATCCGAAGAATTGGAGATTCAAACCAGAAATTACTTAGATATATTTGAATACTTATCTAATTATTCGGTTAGTTATTGTTTATTCTTACATGAGACTAGCTGTAGCTGCGACTTCGTCCGCGTGGAATTTTACTTTATTTTTCTAAAATGAAAGTAGCCTAAGTTACTCTTTATTACATCAACTACCTGCCAAAAAAAGTCTCGTCAAAATCGGTCCAGCCATTTCAGAGATTAGGAGGAACAAACAGACAGACATACAATAATTATAAAGAATGTTATTTTGGTATATGTACCGTATGTATATTCATATGCATGTAGTAAAAAACGGTTATTTCAATATTACAAACAGACACTACCATTTTATTTATATGTATAGATGAGCTTGCATTCCATGGCTTCACAGTGCGGGCGGTGCACAATTCTACAATTTTTTTAACAAGTCTAATGCTGTTGGCCGCAACTGGCCTTTACAGCTTCACCAGACGACAGGTGGCGAGTGCAGATGCCACTCCAAACCAAAGGAAGGACTTATGAAGCGACTAAAGGCCAACTCCTGCCTGACGGGCACGACTTTAATCTTTATTGCACTCCCATCATTACGTTTATTATACTTACTTGATGAATTAAATAACCCCTTAATTACTTTAAAAACTATTGGACATCAATGATATTGATCTTATGAATATTCAGACTTCAATAATATTGAATTTGACTCTTATATAATTTCAAATAGAGACTTATCTCTCAATAATTTTCGATTATTAAACTGATAATCGAATTATTCTTCCTATAAATAATCAAATCCGAATTCTAGTAACAGCAACAGATGTAATTCACTCCTGAACTAAATTACGATTCACCGTTACGGGTTCGAACCTCGGCCCAGGCCGTAGTGGTTTCCATCCCCGTTTGAAATGTACGGGATCCATTCTTAAAATGTTTTATGTTTTCAGAATTCTTTGCCAGATGATAGCACTATATGGCTAACGAGTGACGCGAGTCAAGCCATTTTTCTAGCAGCAGAATCGGTAAGTTTATACATTTTTAATTTAATTGTGAGTAGAACTGCGCCGTATAATTTCACTTCTTTATCTCACAATCAATCGGTACACATCTATAATAATAATCTGCCGGTAAATCTCCTTAAGAGGGGAGATGAGAATTTTTCTTAAGTTTAAAAAAAATATACCCTGACTTGCCCCCTAATATATGCCGCCTACTACAGAAGGCTGTAGTTCTAAACACATGCCGCATTGTTAGAAAATTTCTACAAACAGATTAGGCCAACATTTATTATATCTAAAGATATATAACTTAAAGGTGACTGACATAGTGATCTATCAACGCACAGCCCAAACCACTGGACGGATCGGGCTAAAATTTGGCATGCAGGTAGATGTTATGACGTAGGCATCTGCTAAGAAAGGATTTTGATTTGATTAATTCTACCCCCAAAGGGATAAAATAGGGATAAAAGTTTGTATGAAACTGCCCATTTTAAACCGATCGGGCTGAGACTTTGCATGCACAAAGCTACTATGACGTAGGCATCCTCTAAGAAAGGATTTTGATAAATTCTACCCCTAAGGATAAATTAACGCGAGCGAAGCCGCGGGCAAAAGTTAGTTATAGTATATTTACCTAAAAATAGAAAATTGTTATGTACTTGGCTTGGGCCCCTACATACCAAGATTACCGGCGAAAGTCGTGAGGAAAAATAAAAAAAAAAAAATAATAATAATAAAAGGAAGAGAAAGAAAGAGAAAAGATAAAAATAATAATAGTCATCTTTATTTGTCTCAAACAAAAACTAATACAATTGTTGCCCATACATATACATTAATTAAATTTAAAAGTAATGAAGGAGACAAAACGGTCTATAACTCAGCGAGGGCAGTGAGTCCACGCTCTCTGCTATTCTGTTATAACCTTTATTAATAAATCAATACAATAATCGACGACGATAGCACGTTATGTTCTCATTCAAATAATACTAGGCTCTCTAAAATATGGTCAAGCGCAGTGATGGCTAGCTCATCCGTCATACTCGTGAACGAGTGCTGCTTGTAGGGACTGGTCTGCTCTTATCATTTCCAATTTGAAACGTGCGAGTACAAACCACCAACTAGTACCAATTTATTAGCTTCAGATATTAAGTTGATAAACATAAAGATATACAACTAAATAATATTGACATTTTATTTAGTTGCATATCTTTATTTTATACCTTAATCCGTAATCATAAAATAATCAAGAAGACTTTGATAGACCACCAATGCGTTCATATTAAACACGCGCACAACACGTCCGTTCCGTTCGCGGGCTGCTCGTATAATGCCTTTTGTCCGAGTCCCTGTTCATAGGCCGCCATCTTGTGGCTCTCTCGAAAAACGGATTGTGTTAACACAAGCAAGCTGCTTGGCGTAATAAGTGATACATTTTAAAGTTTCCTTTTAAACTGTCTACTAACACGCATCTTCTAAAGAAAGTTGCGTTGAAGTTGAAATAATCAAGACTAATGTACTCACCCACAAAGTCTATCTCTTGTACTGCGTCAAGTTTAAAATAGTTCTATTAATTTGTTAATTACAGGACAAAGTAAATATTCGATCCACGCTCTCGCCGGTGGCTCTTATAAAATGTGTAAAGAACGACGTGGAGCTAAAGGTAAGAATAATTCAATTTTAATAATAATAAATTATCAATAACTCTATAAATATGTCTCTATTTTATAGTCAGATGTCCGCTTGATTTATTATATGACTCATACATAGAGTAATAATCACCAAAAACATAGACAATGTATCTTTATACTTTAAGGCTCTGAATACACAACAAGAACTTGCCATTCATACGCAGCTATACTATGTGCGCTGTAGCATGGGGTGTGACATTTACTAATTTTACATTTAACAATTACTACATTTAAGTTAATACAGTCATTAGTGGTTTAATATATTACGAATGTGGTACAGCTGAAATACTAAGTCATAATTTGTAAATCGCGGCAACTTTCAAGAGTGAAACGAAACGTTAATGAAACTGTCACCCGCACCATGCTACAGCGCATATGGTATAAAACCTCCTACATGAGTAAAGAAAGAAGAAGAAAGAAAATAAGTTTATTTGGTAAACATAACAATAAAAACGAAATTTTTAAATTTTAAATTAGTACCAAATAGGTCTCCGCTCAGCATATGTCATGGACGGGGTGCCACGACGCTGGTATTCTGCGGATATCTTCATATATAGATATGATAATAATATACATATATACCTATATAAATCTAGGCGCATAACACAGAGTAAACATTTAATATATATTGCTACGTCATACCACCACATATAAATTAATTATCAATCTACACACTGAAATATAAAATAACACATTGATCTGGTGACACTAGCAGACAGAATATGACACCATTACCCTGCATTTGGAGTGCAGACATATCACAGCACAGTTCTCTGAGTAAGGAGTAGTAGTTTTTTAAATTTATAAAAGTAAATGATTTGTACATATATTTTGTAGGGCATTAGGAACGCTCACATTAAAGATGCAATAGCCCTGATCAGAGGACTCAGGTGGGTAGAGGAGCAGGTCGCTGCCGGCACCAACGTCAGCGAAATTGATGTCTCTGATAAACTTGAAGAGTTGCGGCGGTAATTTCATTTTTTTTTTAGTTAAATTAATTTTGGTAGTTTCTTTTTTTAAATTAATTTAAATCAAAAGATTGGCAGTTTACCAAGATGGTTTCCAAAACCTCGTGGAGATTCAATTTTTATGACACAAAAGTTCAATGTTACATCCCCCATTTGATTTCGACCTGTCAGAAACGCAAAGTCTGAGCGACTGGACCTTCATCATCATCTCAGCCCGGAAGACGTCCACTGCTGAACAAAGGCCTCCCCCAAAGATCTCTGCGACGATCGGTCCTGCGCTGCTCGCATCCAATGCCTTCCGGCGATCTTGACCAGATCGTGGGTCCACCTTGTTGGAGGCCTACCTACAACAGCCATCCGTTCTACGAGCTATGTGCCCTGTCCATTGCCACTTCAGTTTTGCAATTCTTCGGACCGGACCTTAGTAGCCACTGAATAAAAAATTAAAATTACAGGTCCGAAGTTGATTCACATGGCCCATCGTTTTCAACGATAGCGGGGGCAGGTGAAAATGGCGCCATAATACATTACAGACCTCCACGGGAAGGCTCTCGAGTGATAGGACCTGATGATATGCTGTTGGTCGATTCTGGAGGCCAGTACAAGTAAGTTGGATTTAAATAAAAATGAATAGGATAGAGAAAGATAGAGTAGGATAGGATAGGATATATATAAATTACGTCACATTTGTTTCATTAATTTTAGTTGCCGCTTACAGTTGGTCAATTTTTAATAGTAAAAATTTCTTGGAAAATCTAACTGTTACTGGTTTATGACGAAACTGCTTAACGGATCTTAATGAAATTTAGCGTTAAGATAGATTGTATCACGACGATAAACATAGGCTGTCTTTCATTAAAAAAAGCAGACAGAATCACAAGAGACAACTAATACAAAAAATGGCCTAGATGGATACCCTGAGGTACTCCAAAGATAATTTTAAATTAATATAGATTTTTATTAACTGTATTGACTTAAAATGTAATTAATAATTAAGTGACATTGATCTGATTGTAGCTTAATTATTTTTATTTATAGATATGCTATCAATCGATTATGTCTGTCTAGTACATTCCATAGTAATCATATAAAAATGCATGTAATTCTGTTTCTTTATAACCTTTATACGCATAAATCGCTTAATCAATTGTGATGAGTTTTGGTATAGAGATAGATTGGATTACAGGAAAGACATATGCTTTTGTTATGAAGAAAAAACTTGAAAGAAGTGAAATAGAAAATAGAATAGAAATTCAAATCAGAAATAGGGAATAGAATAGAAAATACTTTGTTCAAATAAACCTAAATTTAATTGCTAATTAAAACTTAATTTAAGCACTTTTGTCTTTGTCTTTTGACTATTCGTCATAGTTTTATTTATCTACCGCTCGTTCTGAAAACTGTCTCATCACAAGAAGAACGAGCAAGAAACTTGCGTGATGCTCTTTTAAATCATTTAGTTGTAACTTTACATGAAAGTTTGTATGAATGTTGTATCAGTCATTTCTCAAATAAGAGAAATAAAACTCATTATACTTTTGGTTGTTAAAGAATTTGATGTAACTCGTAAGGAAAAATAGACAGAAGTTACGAAGCAGTCTCAATGCAGAAGTTGGTTGTATGAATTTATATTTAATATCTTATTAATATTATAAATGCGAAAGTTTGTAAGTATGGATGGATGGATGTATATTGCTCGTTCACACAAAACTACTGAACATATTTTATGAAACTTTACAGTGATATAGCTTATACATCAGAATAACATACAGGCTATAAATTATATGCGGGAGAAACTGAGGACAAAGCTACTACCTATATAATTATAACTGAGTAGCCTACTTAGAGTAGGTATAGATAACATTGATAATCAAATCTATAAAAAGAACATGATAATCTTTGACGACCTTGATGGTCTACCGGTTTAGCACACCGCTTTACTTCGGAAGGTCGCGGGTTCGATTCGCACGGTACAAACATATCGTATCGGTCTGGATGTTTTTTAATGTATGTATTTACAAAAAAAATCTAAGTATTTATATCAGAACCCGCGACCATCGGAAGTAAAGCAGTATTCTAAACCGCTAGATCACCGATGCCGTTACAATAATAATTAACAAATTATTCTCATAATTACAAATGTTTGTACCTTTCGAGGAATCCGACCCGCGACCAAAAGGGGACGGGGATTGTTAGTTATATGGACTAGTTTCATTGCTAGCAATGTACCAAATCAGCTGTCCTCCACGCAGTTCCCCCTGGAAACCATCGTTTCCAATATTTATATAAGATTTTTAAACCTGTTATACTATAGAAAAAAAGGCATAAGATCATAGTCTCCTGGAATGGCAACGCATGAGTGATACCAGGACTGTCACATGATAACGTAATCTCGGGGGGAAAGGAGACTGTTAGTAATGTGGACTGATGATTGCATTGCTAGCAGTGTAAAATATCAGGTTGACTTCCACGCAGTTCCCCCTGGAAACCATCGTGATAAATTCTTGGTGAATTTGTCACAGTGTGCTAATTGACCTGACCTCATGCTCATCCTAACATCCTCCACTGGTGCCCCGCCAACGTAAATCGTTCCAGGCAGGTGGACCATTCCATTATCATCCATTTAAAAAAACCCTCAATCTAAGTAGTTAGCTTAATCGCTACACCACCGTGTCCCCTCCGATCGATCCCCCGTCCAATTCAAACGGGGATCGAACTTACGACGGCCTGAGCCGATGTTCGAACCCCTAGTGGTGCCCTCAGACTAAAGTCGTATCCGTGAGGCAGGAGTTGGCCTTCAGAACCATCCATTCCTTTCACAAACGTTTGGAGTGCCATCTGCACTCGCCCCCAACGTCCGGTGAAGATGTTTATACTTCATTTTGTTCACGACTTTCCAGTCATTAAACTTATATATTACTCATTTTCTCACGAAAAAAACTTGTATATTAACCATTTTCCGAGGGTTTTCAGAATTATAACTTATATCTCTTCATTGTTTTGTTCAGAGACGGTACAACGGACATAACTCGTACCCGTCACATGAGCGGCTCACCATCTGACATTCAGCGTTTCATGTTCACAAACGTGATGAAGGGACAGATCAGCATGGCGACGGTCGTCTTCCCCAGAGGCACTGTGGTAAGATGTTTATACTTCATTTTCTTCACGACTTTCCAGTCATTAAACTTATATATTACTTCATTTTCTTCACGACTTTTTAATCATTAAACTTATATATTAACTCATTTTCTTCGCGACTTTTCAATCATTAAACTTATATATATCTTCATTTTTTGACTTCAATCATTAAACTTATATATTACCAGTCATTAAACTTATATATTTAATGATTACCTGTAAATAGGTTGTAGTGAGCCAATCTTAAAAGATGAACAAATGTATGTAGTCGCGCAATTTTTCATAGAAATTTTTTAGGAGAACAATTCTATCTATTTGCTGATTTCCCGATATTTCCGCAGTGTTTCAACCACCATGATCATTTCTATCGTTCAGCAGAACTCCTCAAAAATTTTTGACACTTTTCATTGCTGCTCCGCTCCTATTGGTCGTAGCGTAATGATGTATAGATGTAGCCTATAGCACTCGAGGATAATAAACTTTTGTGACAGTGGAGGAATTTTAAAAATCGGATTAGCGGAATCTCATAGGATATTACCCCGAAAGGGAAGTTACCTCTGTACTTCACTTTAACAGAATAACTATATTGTGTCCAAGTAAACAACGTAGAATAATAGGTAAAGAAAATATATTTCTAATCAAGATAAAGTAATATAAAAACACATTTAATACAATATATATTTATACGAGGGCAGACAAGATGACAGTATTCTGTCATGTCAGTTCACTTTCTTTTCAAACACTCAAACATACTTCGTCTGCCATACCGGCCAGTCTAGTCATCGATTCCAAACCTCGTTGTAACAATAACATTCGTATAGATATATTTTAACGTATAAATAATGACTGCGTCAAATTTAAAATAGTATATTTTAATTATTTTCTGTATTTGCTATAATAGAGTCAAATTCAAATTCAAAATATCTTTATTCATGTAGGTCTATTACAGACTTATGATATGTCAAATCTACCGTCAGTTCGGAATGATTTCACACAAACTCAGCTCGTATTCTTTTCAAATATATGTTGTAGATGTTTACAATAATACAGATTTATTTTTAAATTTAAATTAGGGTAGTATACTCTATCATCATCCATCTAATTGATAGAACTTATGTGATATGTCAAAGACTATAATACGGTGTGACACCACCAACACTTGAAGAGCAACTAGCTGTTCATGTTTTTAAGTTATGTTGGGCTAAAAATGACTTGTATCCAGATCCGTAAAATATTAATAAAAAAAAACTAGCTGTTCAAGATTCAAGGTAAGAATATCTTTTAAGTCTAATAAATGAAATAATTCCAGGGACATACATTGGATAGTTTCGCGCGCAGATATCTATGGAATTTAGGGGTTAGTTATGGTCATGGAACTGGCCACGGTCTGGGCCACTTCCTCAGAGTTCACGAGGGACCTTCCTGGATCCAAGCCGCACCAAGTAGCACAGACCCTGGGATTGTGGAAAAGATGATATTTAGCAACGGTGAGTTTGTTTCTGGATCTGTTTTCGAGGAGAGTGATGTATGGGAATCTATAACAGTGTTTTCTATTTTCAAGTAATATTATCTATTAATGGAAAAGTAAACTGTCCTCTCTCCGATGGGGTTACGAAGGGATGTGAGACATTCATACCCACTAAAAATCACAAGGTATACCTGCGCCATTGTCGGAGTCGCGAGGCCGCGATATAATAGGACACGGGGTCGATTCCTCGCATGGTACAAACATTTGTATTCATGGGTATGATTGTTTGTATCAGTCTGGGTGTTTTTTAAGTATATTATGTATGTTTTTACAAAAAGAAGTATAAGTATTTATCAGTTGTCCAGTAATCATTACAGAAGCTCTGCTTACCTACTTAGATAGTGCTGTTAATTGTCCAGAGTTATTATATAATGGAAATCATAGCTTGTTTTGTTGACGGTGTTTCCATCACCGAAAGTCAGTAAATCACACACACTTTTTTATTTGCAACTATTAAGGAGAAAAGGCGATTGCTAACAATGTATGGTACATCAGGTGCTCAGGTTGACCTCCACGTGGTTTCCCCTGGAAACCATTGTGATACATTCACGGTAATTTGCTACGACGGGTTAACTGACCTGACCTCATGTTCATTTTATCATCCTCCACTGGTGCCCCGCCAGCGTATACCGTTAGCACAGACGGGTGCACCATTCCATTAAAATACATTTAAAAAAAGCACTGAAATATATATCGGCGTTGTGAATCTATAGGTCGTGACTATACCATCATTTTTTACTATACCATGATTTTCATGACGACCTCGGTGGTCTAGCGGTCTAGCACACCGCTTTACATCCAATGGTCGCGGGTTCGATTCCTCGCACGGCACAAACATTTGTATTCATGAGTATGATTGTTTGTATCGGTCTGGTGGGTGTTTTCTATGTATAATATGTATGTATTTACAAAAAAATATCTATGTATTTGTACCAGTTATCTAGTACCCATAACACAAGCTTTAGCCAGCTTAACTTGGGTCTAGATGGCGCTGTGTGAATTGTCCTGAGATTTTTTTTTATAGAACCTGGGTATTACGAGGTTGGAGAATATGGGATCCGTCATGAGGATATCGTGGAAGTTATAACTGTGAACAAAGATGCTGATCATGTACATGTGAGTATGACTTCAAATATGATAAAGGAATGGTGCGGTTGTCTTATATAGTATGCCCTGCAGTATACCCTGGCGGGTTCCCGGTGGAGAATAGAATAGAAAAACATTTATTCAAATAAACTTAATTTAAGCATTTTTGAATAGTCATAGTTATCATTCTTTTAATCTACCATCATTCGGAAGGCTGTCTCATCACGAGAAGAACGAGCGAGAATCTTGCGTGTTGCTCTTTTAAATAATCAATGTAATTTTACATTTCCAATTCGAAACCACCAACTAGCACCAATTTATTTTGAACTAGCTGTTCCCGCGACTTCGTCCGCGTTGAGTTTAACTTTATTTTACTAAAATAAAAGTAGCCTAAGTTACTCCTTATTATATCAGCTACCTGCCAAAAAAATTCTCGTCAAAATCGGTCCAGCCAGTTCAGAGATTAACCGGAACAAACAGACAGACAGACAAAAATTGTAAAAAATGTTATTTTGGTGTATGTACCGTATTTATATTCATATACATGTAGTAAAAAACTTTTATTTCAATATTACAAAAAGACTCCAATTTTATTTATATTTTATATATAAAATTCTCGTGTCCCAGTTTTCATTCCCATACTCCTCCGAAACGGCTTGACCGATTCTTATGAAATTTTGTGAGCGTATTGAGTAGGTTCTGAGAATCGGCCAACATCTATTTTTCATTCCCCATAAATGTTAGGGGTAGTCCACCCCTAAATTTTTTATTTTTATTTTAAGGCAAAACAACGTTTGCCGGGACAGCTAGTGTACCTATAGATAAACAAAGCAGGATGCTGGTCGTCTGAGATATCTTAGTTTTAATAAAGGAAGAACTCAAATATTGGGCCAATGCGAAGCCGGGGCTGGTTACTAGTTGTAAAATATAATATACATTTGAAAACACACAGATTATTAAAATAAATCAATAATGTATTTGAATAAAGATTATTTCCACTGTTTTGTAAACAGGCCCAGGATATAATTGGTGACTTCGACGGTGCTGGAGCACTGGGTTTCTACACCATATCGTTGGTACCACATCAAACTGCGTCTCTCAACATCACTCTCTTGGACGATTTTGAAGTAAGTGCAGGAAGATTTTGAGTTAACGTTTTATCAAGGTACACTTTGGGGCCGTTCAAGTATTACGTGAGCAGATTTATTACAGTTATTTACCCCCATCCCTCTTGTCAGCAAAAGTAACAAAACCTCTTGACCCCTCCCCCCATGCCTACGTAAACATTTTCAATTAATGTATTGTTTTTTAGCAAAGACAATGTGAGGGTTGCCATTATGTAAAAAAGTAAATAACTACCGATGACGTAATCGTCATCTAGACTCGCCAACACCCCATGTCATCCAAAATAAGTGAAGCAAAGACACCCCCCCATAGTGCTTACGTAATACTAGAGCGGCCCTTTAGTAGAAAATCATATTTTTATAGGTTTACGGTAGTTTTATAGGCGTCTTAATATTAAATACGAGTGACCAGACGCCAAGTATTCAGAGAATCAAATAATTTATTAATTTCTAACGGCAATAGCAGATATTGGTGTCTATTTGAGAGTTCGTGTATGAATCTGTATTTTGGCGGGAGTTGGCCTTCAGCCGCTCCATAAGTCCTTCCGCGGGTTTTTTCAAGGGATAATAATGGAATGGTGCACTCGCCTGTGCTAACGGTATACGCTGCGGGGGCAGCAATGGAGGATAAGATGAGTATAAGGTACAAGATGGTTTCCAGGGTAGAGGTCAATCTGACATGGTCCATAGATAAGAATGGGATTATGAATCCACATTACTGACAATCCCCTTCCCCCTTGATGGCACTCTTAATCAAAGGAAGGCCTTTGATTAAGAGTGTCATCTGCACTCGCCTGCTATCGTCCGGTGAAGCTGTAAAGGCCAGCTGCAGCCCATTGGCTGCATTAAAGTAGTCTAAAAAAAACTGGAGAGTGACACATGACACTATAGGGTATAGAGAGATGACACCAGAGACATTACGCGTGCACGTTGGCTAGATTTGAACTCATGACCTAGTGTTCTGAGTAGTAAATTACGAGACGAGAATTTTTTAAAATTTCTTTTAAAATTTAGGGTCTTTTGTACTATCCAAAAGTACATGCCAATCCCATTGTACCCTAAAACTATTTACTTCATTAACGCACCCGTGAACACATTGCCTACCCGCACTGTCTGAAGGATCGGCTAAAACATTCTATGGTCTGACGTTATTCTATGTACCACATATAGGAGACATCTAATACTATTTTAATATTTCAGATTAAATATTTAAACACCTATCATGCGCGGGTTTTGGCTACAATCGGACCTATTTTGAAACAGAGAAACCTCACAGAAGATTACGATTGGTTGGAAAGAGAATGCGCGCCAATTTTACGTGACGCCGCCATTTTGGTCAAAACGTCGCCATTGCTTATACTTATCAGTGTTGTTACATTATGGTTCAGAGCATAAATTAAAGAAAATTATAAATTAATTACACTAATTACAACTCTCTGATGAGTTATAAATTTTGCAACTGTAATGTGAGATGTAACTTTAATGAAATAAATGATAAAATTTAAAATTCCATTATAAATCTACTTTTATTATTAAAGAAATTATATTATAAAATTCATTTAAAAATATTAATTAATTTTTTTTATTACATTATTATTACTGTATATGTGGCTGTGATATTATATGGTACCATGGGTGTTACATAATGTCTATGGTGCTGTTTATGTATATACAATCCGGCAGCTCCACCAATCGGGAATCAGTATCGACCAATCAACTATTTGTTATTGTAGTAATGTGACCAAATAACCTTGAAATAGCGCAGACTATGACTTGTTTCTATATTTGTTTACTTAACAAATATAAAAACAATAGTTTTTAAAAGTCAATAGTTTTAGCCCAAAATTAATACGCTTATTGTAAGTTAGAATAATCATTAAATTTTTAATGTTAATGAGGCAAATAAATGACTTAAAATTTTGCCGTACATTGGACGTCAGTTCAAAGTTACAGCGCCCATTCGATCCCGACCTGTCAAAAACGCAAGCTGAGCGGCCGGACAGTAGGCAATGGTAGCCACTTACCACCAAGACAGCCATAAACCTATTTGCTAAAATAATATATAGAGTATATGATAATTTGTACATATAGAATAGAAGATATATATAGAATAATAAAATATCAATTAATATTTATAATAACTTTACTTAATACATAATTGCATCACAAATTAACATTTTATGCCATAATCTACAATTGTCTATGGTTACTTAGTTCTTATCACGGTAGTGTTTAATGTTGACAAGTACCCAGACCGGGACAGCAGACCAACCGAGCACCATTGCACTTGCGAGGAAGATCAGCTCCTGGAATATAAGTAAACAATAATTAGATAAGATGATATAGGACCTCTTTTTGCCAAGCAGAAAAGGAAACTCCACACACATCTATGTGGTTGTAGCCCACTCATGCATAAATGAAATATCTTCTTTGGGAAGTATACACCCTATCCTGAGGAGATAGAAACCATCACTCATAAGAATATCCTTCAATTCTTGTCCCTCTTGCATCTAGGTAGCAAACTTTGAAAACAGCAAGCACAACAGATCTATGCAGGTCTTAGCACCTGACAATATTCCAAAAGTTATTAGGTAAAGTAATATAAGATCCTTTCAGGGATGAATGAGGAATTGTGTATTGAGTAATGGTATGCACTAGCGAGACATCTGTGAAGGGTTGATGAAAATGGTTGAGAATGAGATACTTGTACTCCTGAAGCATGGGAATAAAAATAATTACCCTTAGAGATTAGAAAAGTAACATTTATTTAAATAACTGGATAAGGAAAATTGATACAAACAAATCATAGATCATATATAAGTACAGAGAAGATAACTAGTGTTGTACAGTTACTTATTTATAAAATACAGAGTAATATTCTAATAAAGATGACAGAATGATCAAAATGTCAGGTCAGTTAGCTCCTTCTTGGTAAATTCACCAGGAATTTACAATGGTTCTGACATTGCTAGCAATTTGACTACTAGTTCCCATTACTCTTAGATTTGTAGATTTAAAATTCTATACTTCAAATAAGAGAGCCATGTTTATTTTCATAATGTATCATGTTTTTCAAAAATGGAACATGAAAATTTCTTGCTCTATTTCTAGTTCTGTCAAGAGGTTAGAATTAAAAATATGACTATTCCAAAGCACAGATATATTCATTTTACAATTTACAGCTATTACAAAGATATGTTTTTTACCTAAATATATGATATATTGCTAAAGCACAGATATTAAATTTATTTGAATAAAGATTACATCTATTTTGGACTGTTTTTTTTTATACCATTAGCTCTATAAACAATCATACTCCTGCATACAAATATCTGTATCTTGTGAGGAATCGAAACTGCATCCATGAGAAGCTGTGTTTGAAGAACCACGGTCACCGAGGTCGTCAAAATAATTATTTTGTTTCCTCTAACAGTAAAATGCAAATTTTTTTTGCGTCTATTTCTTGTCGGATTTACATACGATTTTCAGTAAGATTACGAATGTATAAGACATGAATATACATAAAATATGTATTTTCAAGACCTCCGTCATATACCCGTGTGTAAGCTATACACGGGTATATGACGGAGGTCTTGGTGGAGGTGGCTAACAAATTGGTTTATATAACATAACCTAAATATACACCAACTACAATTACGTAACTTTTGATTTTCAAATTATGAGAGGTAAATATATGTTTTCATTCAATAACAAAAAGTAAACGATAAATTAATGGAAATTAATTATAAAATTAATGATTTGAAAAGCGTTTGGAGAAGTAATTACTTTTAAAGTATTGTTATGAACATACCCCTTTGGATACTTTGTTTCTAGCTGGTACAGCCAATGCACTCATGTTCCGTTGTTGAACCACATTCTTGCTCATCTGAGCGCTGTTTCTAAGTAAGCTTCTGAGGGCCAGCATTTTGATTTAGTTAAAAAATTCACTACGTAAAAATACGATAGTCCAAAATGCAATAAAAATTATTAATCGATAAGGATTTGGGGATGCCATCTACATAAATTAAAAGCAGTATGCACAGATTAGAAAAACTTACTTGTTTTTGTCTTTAATATTTTGCTGACTTAGAAGAACATATTTTAGGCAACCTTTTTTTTAAATTTAATTATTAATCACAAAAGAGGCTGACTATGATATTATCAACTACTATACAACAACCCAATTAATGAAATTATTATTGATTAATTGTGGACCTACCACAGGCAAAATGAATAAATTTTGTTGAAGTGGGAAATATCTGAAGTATTCGGAGTGATAATAACAATAATTTATAGGATATTTTAGTATGTGAAACACAAGATATAACGTTATTTAATTTTCTTATCTTATCTATCTATCTACTCGTGCACCTTATGCTCATAGAGCTGCAACTATCAATTAATAAGCACAGATACAGCACAGATAATAAATAATGTTTCATATTATTTATTTCTCTATTGTATGGCTGTCACCAGAGGATATTGGTGTTCTGTGGCTGTCACTGTCAATATTTCTGATCTGTGAATGTGTGTATTGTTTTGTGTGGTGAAACAATTTATAAAATATTTTACTTACTACTGTGGACCAAATAATTATCCTTTAAAATGGCTGTAAGTATGTTTTTTTACAATGGCTACATATAAATTGAATAGGTATACCAAAATGGATAAAATAATAACTTTTAGCCGGTATTTTGTTCAATTTATAACCTCACTTTTTTATTCAATTTTGTAATTCTAGTCGATAGCAGCAGCCCAAGTGCAGGAAGTCCGTTCTATTACACGAATAGAGAGAATAGGAGCTCATTCCCATATTAGAGGACTGGGGTTAGATGATTCCCTTGAACCACGAGCGGTGTCGCAGGGCATGGTGGGGCAGAAGATGGCGAGGAAAGCCGCCGGAGTCATTCTGCAAATGATTCGAGAAGGTTCGTATTGAATCAACATTCTTGTTTCTATGGTAACAGTGTAAACAAACATTGCACTGTAACTCACAATGAAAGATTTGTAGTCATGACTATGATAGTTTGTAATGATTTATGTTTATATATGTGTGCACAACAAAAGTATATTTACTTAACGATAACTGTCTCACCCATGTAGCGGTAGACGGTTTAGCACACCAGATTAATTCCAATGGTTGCATTCCATTCCTTACAAACATGTGTCATGAGCCATACAAACATGCGTTGGGCTTGCCTTGCTGGTTCTTTGTATGATGTATGTTAGCATCCACTGATTCACCATGTGGGAGCTGCGTCTGTAGTGGCAGAGTAAGAAACTCCAAGTACTCATGACTCAGATTTTGATTAAGGGTACGAGACATTACATGCTATCATACATATACATAAAATATGAGACAACCTGGCGTAAATGGAAAATCAACTCACAGGAACTCTATGATAATGAATTAAAATTGGAATGTCTGTTTGTAATTCCAAATTTACAGCATTTCACTCTAATCATATGAATGTACTTCCATTATTTAAAAAAATTGGTCTGTTCTTACTAACCAGTGAAACATGGAGGAAAAGAAACTTTCATAATAAAAAATTTGCATACAAAATAAAAACCTTAATATGAAAAACCTATAAAAATCTTAAAATAAAAAACATGGGATCATGGGAAAACCTCGGCAGGAAGTGGTTGTGGTTGTTAAGGTTTTTTAATGGTCGGCAACATGCATGTGACACCCCTGTTGTTTCAGGTGTCCATAGGCTATGGTAACCATTTACCATCAGATGGGCCGTACGCTTGTTTGTTACCATAGTAGTTTAAAAAAAAAACAAAGTTGCAGCTAGTTGTCAATGAATATGCATATAGTCTGGTAGACTACAAAGTTAACAAAAATAATAATTAAGAAAACATATGTCTACAGGGAAAATAGCTGGTCGCGCCGTGTTGCTGGCTGGCCAGCCTGGTACAGGGAAGACTGCTATTGCCATGGGTCTCGCTCAGGCCCTTGGACCTGACACTCCATTCACCAGCATGGCGGGTGAGGTTTACTGATTTATTTAACCTAGTCAATATATTCAATAGAATCTATACATATGAATAAAATTAGAGTGGCTGTTTGTAATATCTCTGAAATGGCTTGATCAATTTTGACAGAACTTTTATTGGTATATTCGTTATTTAGCTGATGTAATAAGTAGTAACTTACGCTACTTTATTTTAGAGAAATAAAGTTAAATTCCATGCGGACGAAGTCGCGTGTACAGCTAGTAATATATAGATATAGGAGATGACTAGCACATCACGAATAACAGGATAGAAGATAATTTATCACAATTTGAAAATAAATAAAATTAATAATTTAATAAAAACATATTTTACCATAATCATAGTAGTCTACATAAGTAAGGATTGTGAAATGTCCTATCCTATTATGTTTTGACTAATTAGTATGTAAATATAAATATTTTAAAAAGTTTAGTACAAGAATTGAAGAATATTCTTAGGAGCGATGGTTTTTATCTTCTCAGGATATAATGTATATGTACTTTCTAAAGGTGATACTTCGTTTATGCATGACTGAGCTATGACTACATAGGATATGAGGTGGCGTTTTTTCTTCTGCTTGGCAAAATCTGCAAATTGTTAAGCTGAGGCCTAATTTATGCCATATGTGATGTAACAGTTTAATGTTACTGTGTAAGGCATATTTTGAAATAGAAACTTCTGTTACAGGTTCTGAGATCTATTCTCTGGAAATGAGCAAAACTGAAGCTCTAACACAAGCCATCAGAAAGTCAATTGGAATTAGGATTAAGTAAGTATTGCAATACCAAAACGATGATAAAATGTAGGATAATTCACACAGCGCCATCTAGTCCCAAGCTAAGCAGAGCTTGTGTTATGGGTACTAAACAACTGATATAAATGCTTAGATAGTTTTTTTGTAAATACAAACTTAATATAGGTATATAGAAAACACCCAGACCAATATAAATAATCATACTCATTGTACAATTTTTCTTCTTAATTATCGGTGCTCACACACACCGATGTTCTGACTCGCCGGGTACGCAATGGCCGCATGACGCCAGCTGTGTGCGCTAGAGACGACATAATGTTTCCTTCTCTTTCACACATATACTCCACTCGTGAATAAAAATTACATAAAACGTAAATTCATTACCATGCATGTTATAACAGTTGTAAAAAAATTAACTCATATCTTTCAGAGAAGAATCGGAAATAATAGAAGGCGAAGTGGTGGAAGTTGTGGTGGAGAGAGCGGCCGGTGGTGGCGGCGCGAGGGTCGGGAGGCTCACGCTGAAGACCACAGACATGGAGACCAACTACGATATGGGGGCCAAGATGATTGACTCACTGCTCAAAGAGAAGGTGACATACCTTACATATATATTTATTTTAAGACTAATAATAGCTAATCCGAGCACCGGAAAACGCAACGTGGGAAGGCCTCCGACAAGGTGGATCGACGATCTGGTCAAGATTGCTGGAAGCCGTTGGTTGCGAACAGCGCAGGACCAATCGTCATGGACATTTTTGGGGAAGGCTTTTATTCAGCAGTGGATGTCTTCTGAGCTGAAATAATGATGATGAGCTGGTACTTACTTGACATTTATTATTTTATTTGGCCCAAATTACATAATATCTTTTGAATTATAGCTTATTTATTATTCTGATGTATAAGCTATACTATTGTAAAGTTTCATCAAAATAAGTTCAGTTTTTGCGTGTAAGACTAACAAACATACATCTATCAATACTCACAAACTTTCGTGATTGTAACATTAATAGCAATGCCCGCGGATTCATCTGCGTCAAATTTATAGCCTCTGTTATTCTGATGTATAAGCTATATTATCGTAAAGTTTCATCAAAATCTGTTCTGTCTTTGCATCCACAAGGTGGGCCGTCGGTTCGTTTGTAATTCCAATAACATAAATAAAGTTTAAAGTGTGAGAAGCCTCATAATGGTGATGATGTCTTTTTATAGGTCCAAGCTGGCGATGTCATAACCATAGACAAAGCGACAGGAAAGATAAACAAATTGGGGCGGAGTTTCGCTCGAGCTCGCGACTATGATGCCACTGGTATGTACATGGAATAAAATAGAAAATCCTTTATTCAAATAAACTTAATTTAAGCTTTTTTGAATAGTCATATTGTTATGACTATTTAATCTACCGCTCATTCGGAAAGCGACTCATCACAAGAAGAACGAGCAAGAAACTTGTGTATAGCTCTTCTAAATAATTGTTGTAAGTTTATATTTTTCGAGTCCAAACATGTGAATACAAAATACCAACTAGCACAAATTTATTATGATCAAATATAAATACACAATAAGATTAAATGAGTCGTAATGATTATAGGTTAATAATAAAGATATTTACTTAGCATTCTATATTATTATTTCATTATGTGGTGTGATGACTTTGTCGGCAGAAACATCCATCCAATGTTTTCCAACCAGATTATTTTTTATATTGAATGTCTATGATGAAAATGTCTATATATAAACAAATGAACAAACTAACCTAAAACCCTGAAATATAGAAACAGATATAATTAATGGGAAAGTGACTTTATTCTGTTATTTTTCTTTATGTTTCTAATTTAAATTAATTTAATTTAATAAAAAATTTCTTTTTTTTTCTACTGCTAGACTTTTTAGGTTTATAACCTAAAAAGTCTTGTTCTGGGTGTTTACTATGTATATTATATATGTTTTTACAAAAAAAATGTATCTATTTATTTGTGTCAGTTGTTTAGTACCCATAACAAAGCTCAGCTTACCTTGGGACTAGCTGGCGCTGTGTGAATTGTTCTGAGATGTTATTTGTCATTAGGCCAACAAGCGCGCTTCGTGCAATGTCCCGAAGGTGAGCTGCAGAAGAGAAAAGAAGTGGTGCATACCGTTACTCTGCATGAAGTTGATGTCATCAACTCCAGGACGCACGGATTCCTAGCTTTGTTCTCTGGTAAGTGTTGGAAACTTCGACAAAAATAATTAAAAAAGCTCTTCAGTGATTCATTTATAATTTTCGAACTACTTTAATTATCATCATTTAAAATACATATAATGTAAAGTTAAATAAAATACAATACCATGTAATGAATATTTTATTAAAAAACATCTTAATTAGAACATATATAGTTATACATATATACTTAAACATATTAGCTTATTCATTGTGAACGTAGCAGGTTTTCGGACTTTTCTAATGCTGTCGGCCGCAGCTGGCCTTTACAGCTACCGGACGATAGGGCGTGAGTGCAGATGGCACTCCAAACCAAAGGACAGACTTATGGAGCGGCTGAAGGACAACTCCCGCCTGACGGATTCAAATTCTAAAATCATTTATTCATGTAGGACATTTTAGCCGCTTATGAACGACTTTAGTCTGAGGGCACCGCTATGGGTTCGAACCTCAGCTCAGGCCGTCGTAATTTCGATCTCCGTTTGAATTGTACGGGGATCGATCGGTTTTGTACAATGAGGAATCGAAACTGCGACCATCAGAAGTAAAGCTGTGTACAAAGTCACCGAGGCCGTCACTAAATAAATTATCTCTTTGAATACAGTGATTGACATACTTAATATTAAACTGCATTAAATAACATAACATTGTTTTTAAAAAATCAACTTAATATAAAGGCAATAAGAGATATAATCTATCTATCATCTACAGGTGATACGGGAGAAATAAAATCAGAGATTCGCGAACAAATCAACAGTAAGGTGGCAGAATGGCGCGAGGAAGGCAAGGCGGAGATGATACCAGGTGTGCTGTTCATAGACGAGGTAAGTTTCCTTCTATATCTGCAGTATTTTTTTATGGATGATAATGGAATGGTGCATCCGCCTGCGTTAACTGTTTACGCTGACGGGGCACCATGATAAGATGAGCACGAGGTCAGGTCAGTTAGCCCATCGTGACAAATTCACCAAGAACTTATCACGGTGGTGGTGGAACCGTGTAGTGGTCTACAATAATATAGCTAAGAATAACACATAGGTTATCAATTTCACGCGGGTGAAACCAGCACAGTACAGACACACACACACAGGTGAGCACAACTTGTAAAAAATATAGTTGAACTTGATACGACCAGAACAATGGACTTGTAGGCGTAAATACTGGACATATAATGCTTCTTCAGCATGAATATTAATATTAACAAGCCCAAATCTCTTAATAAAAAAAACATCCGACTTTCAGGCGCACATGCTGGACATAGAATGCTTCTCGTTCCTGAACCGCGCGCTGGAGTCGGAGACGGCGCCCGTGGTGATGATGGCCACCAACCGCGGCATCACGCGCATCCGGGGCACCAACTACCGCAGCCCCCACGGCCTGCCCCTCGACCTGCTCGACCGCATGATCATCGTGCCCACCGCGCCCTACTCGCACCAGGACCTGCGGGAGATACTCAACATAAGGTCACTTTTGTTTATTGTTTATAATTGTTGAATTAAAATCATAAGCAACCAAGTCTTAACACGAAGAATTTTATAAGGTGTAATGTATGAGGTAAAGAGAAGGAAGCATTGTAGAGGATCCCTCATTTGTAGAATGTATAGGATTTAACATTCCATTGAATTACGTGAGAAGTGTCACCCGTCGTCGTCCGACTGTTTGTAACTGCGGCCACAACGAGCCACGGTAATAAATCAAATTCAAAAATCATTTATTCATGTAGGACATTTTAGCCTCTGATGAACTTCAGTTTTTTTTATATTATAGCTAGCAGACTGGCCACTCGTTGCTGTAGCTAAAGTTCTTGAATAGAATAATATTGCGACTATAAATTGAGATGTAAGCTATCCTTTCTATCAAGTTGGATCAAATTGCACACAATGTGTAAATCAAATTTGCAATCGGTTCAGTAGTTTAGGAGTCCATCGCGGACAAACAACGTGATACGTAATTTTTATATATGGACAATTCACACAACGTCATCTAGTCCCAAGGTAAGGAGAGCATGTGTTATGGATAAGGTTTTTCTGCTAGATAACAAATATATACATTCCATCGTGTGGTCCGTTGTCTAGTACCCATAACAAAAGCTCTGCTTACAGTGGGACTAGATGGCGCTGTGTTTAATTGTCCAGGTTTATTATTATATTAATAAGGAATGTAAATTAGGTGTGAAGAAGAGGACTGCCAGATGTCAGCTGACGCTTTGACAGTGTTGACGCGAGTGGCCACGGAAACATCCCTGCGGTATGCCATACAGCTCATCACCACGGCTTCCCTCGTAGCCAGGAGACGGAAGGCCACTGAAGTGAGTTGACTTTAAAATGGTGTACCGGACGGCCCTAACGGTATACGCTGGCGTAGCACCAGTGGAGGGTGATACGATGGACATGAGGTCAGGTCGTCATGGTAAATTCACCATAAATTTGTCACTATGGTTTCCAGGGAGACAGCATAGTGGTGATGCAGATTGCATCATCTCTCCTTTAAATCCACAACCAATCTTTTTAATTTATTTTTATATAAATAAATAGGCTATCTTTAAAAGGATTCTAGCTTTAAAAATGATACTTCCATACAACCTTTCATCGCGCCTTTCAACCCCTTACAACCCTTTTTCGCATTAAAAAGTAGCCTATGTCCTTTCTTTTTTTTTTTTTAATTTATTTAGGTCAACAAACAGTTACACATTATATATATGACTTATGGCTATTTACTAATAAATTTTAACAAATGTGTCACCCACTAACTATGTCGTTTCTCGATGTCTAGAATATCTGTGTATCAAATACCAAAACTACTGACCGATTTAAATGAAATTGGTCAGTAGTTTTGGCGTGAAAGCGAGAGAGACGACAAGGATTAATATGTGACAGTTTATTTAATTATTTATAATTTTTAATTAGTGACTATGCCCAGTTGGGGCGGTGAAATGATATCACGTAGTGAACTGTAGAATTATGTATTTTCGTATATATTAAAGAAGTGTTTTATAAGAGAAAGTACGTGCGGTGCTCAATGCACGGAATGGCCGAGTGAGGCGTCGTGGTAGATCGGACTCGCTGCCGGCTCGGACGCCCCGCACCCGTCCACTGTCGTCGCTGGCGCGCCAACAACTACTAATAATAATTAATTAATAATTTTTTCAATTAGTAATTAATATTTGTTCACCAGGTCAGCATGGAGGACGTGAAAAAGGTCTACTCCTTGTTCCTGGACGAACACCGCTCGGAGCAGTTCCTTAAGGAATACCAGGATGAGTTCATGTTCGACGACGGTGCCGGTGGTATGTTATTTTTATGATTCTTTATCTATAGAAATAAATAAAAAAGACCATTTTTGTAGTTTAAATTAACAACTCTTCACTTAACGCTTATACACTTACGGTCCTTACAAAAAAAAATATTTCAATAGTTTTTATATGTCAGTCTGTCTGTTCACTAAATGCATATAAAAGTACATACGGTACTTCCATAAAAAAATGATTTTTTTTCTGTCTGTATGTTCTTGCTTATCCCTGAAACGGCTAAACCGATTATGATGGGATCATATGTTCTTGCTTATTCGTATGTTCTTGATTGTGAGGGGATCATTCCCAGATAGCTAATGTTTTTATATTTTACTATCAATTATTAAGTTGCACTACCCCGCTATCCCTGATCAGCGCTACTGTTGACTGGTAGATAATGCTATACATAAATACTTTTTTTTTCAGATGCACCTCAGTCAATGGAGGTCTCGCAGTAAATACAACATACTTATAAATACAGGCGGACCTAAGTAACAGAGCCAACGGTAGACCCTGATGCCGGTGGATCTATTCATGATATGTTATTCCATTATTTTTGATTTAATCCTAAAGAATTTCTAAATGTACTTCATGTGTTTTGGGTTACATTTGATTTAAAGCGTATAGCGTTGGTAATGATAATAATAAAATTATATGTTATAGATTATTTCTTCCACAGAAAAACAATGATATTCGAATAGAGTTTGATAACATTTCATTTTTTTGTCGACCATAAACGTAGACAGGATTTCAGGTGTGGGGGTGAGGTTACGGAAGGAAACAAAATTCTTCCAAAAATATTTTGTTAAGACACATGCAAAGTACATTTGTTTTTATAACATACCATGATGACTACTTATCATCGTTTCTAAGCATGATGTGGTATCACGTGAGTCATTATAAATGCTAAAAAAAGCTCTGTAACCGAAACCGAAACTATCGGATATCCGATATAAAAAAATATTCGTAACCGTAACCGAATCCGAAATAAGAGTTTTGGATAATATCGGATAGGGGCGGAGCCTAATTGAGACCCGTTATGTAACCATTTTATTAGCTATTTGTAATTTACTATTGAAACTCTATTGAATACTATTAAAAAATAATATCCGTAACCGAAATTATCCGAAACTAACGGATAATCCGAAATAATTTCACATCCGTATCCGTATCCGAAATTTCATATCCATAACATCCCTGCAAAAAAAAAACAACGATTAATGGACGACGTCTAAATAAAAAATGTGCGTATATTAGTCCAAAAAATAAGGCAATTCCGCACTAACTTTTATTACGAAAGAAAGAGAGTCTATAATCTATTTAGAAAAAAAAGAGGGAAAGAGGGAAGGCCTGCCAAAACGTGGCTTCAAACCCCAGCAGTGCCCTCAGACTAAAGTCAGGTCAGTCAGGCGGGAGTTGGCCTTCAGCCGCTCCATAAGTCCTTCCTTTGGTTTGGAGTGCCATCTGCACTCGCCTCCTATTGTCCGGTGAAGCTGTAAAGGACAGCTGCGGCCAACAGCATTAGAGTAGTCCGAAAACCTGCTACGTTCACAATGAATAAGCTAATATGTTTAAGTTAGTCATATATGTTCTAATTAAGATGTTTTTTAATAAAATATTCATTACATGGTATTGTATTTTATTTAACTTAACATTATATATTTTTTTAAATGATGATAATAGAATGGAGCACCCGCCTGCGCTAACGATTTACGCTGGCGGGGCACCAGTGGAGAATGATAAGATGAGCACGAGGTCAGGTCAGTTGGCCCATCGTGGCAAATTCACCAGGAATTTATCACGATGGTATTCAGAGGGAACCGCGTGGAGGTATTACTAGCAAGGGGGTTATTAGTCCACATTACTTTTCCTCCTTCCTATATAAGCCTTCGTCACATACGTACTTACTTAATCCGGTAGACAGGACAAACATACAGTGCGTAGCGTTTTCTATGTTGATTCTCGCAGGCCTAATCCTTGTTAATGTATATTTACACAGAAAAACATTTACTCAGAAGAGCAACACGCAACTTCTTGCTCGTTCTTATTCATCACAAGCCTGCATTTCGAATGAGCGGTAGAATAAAAAATATATGGCTATTCAAAAGCGCTTATATTAAATTTATTTATCATATCATTTATCTGCTGAATAATAATTAATATCTAAAGGTTGAATGAAATTAGTTAAGTGTTTAGTCCTTTTTTCACTACGATGTGACAAAAAAAAAAGGAATATTTTAATATTTCGGTGATTTTTTTATCCAGGACAATTAACACAGCGCCATCTAGTCCCAAACTAAGCAGAGCTTGTGTAACTGTACTGTACTAGACAACTGATATATTTACTTAGATATTTTTATAAATACATATATAGAAAACACCCAGACCAATACAAATAATCGTACTCATAAATACAAATGTTTGTACCGTGCGAGGAATCTAACCCGCGACCATCGGAAGTAAAGCGGTATGCTAAACCGCTAGACCACCGCGGCCTTCATTTATTAACAAAAAAAAATATCACAACCTTATTTTATTTATTTGTTCCATTCTTAAAAATACAGCAGTCGATTGTTACCTAAATGTCAGTCACATAGCCAAAGATGGAGGAGAAAAAAAGTAATATTTGAAGCGCAATGGACGTGAAAATACATAACATATATAATTACATGATTTGGTTGTAAAATTTCTATTTGCAGACAACTGTATAGGATATGTTTTGTGTTTCTCTTAAGAGAGTGAAGAATATAGAGGAAAAAACAAGGAACTGATACAGATAAGTTAAATTCACCTATATATGTATTCAAAAATATTAAGGACATGAAATCTATAGCTTATCTAGTGGTAAGTGGTAACAGTCGCCTATATATAGGAACAGCAAGCACTACGATATCACGTTATCATGTGACGCCCGCACCACTAATGCTTTGTCATTCCAGAGGTGTAAGATGTCACGCCTGTATTATCCTGTAATTTCACTAACTAATCTGCACCCTACAACCGGAATACAGCATTCTATGAAAGAGGTGTAAGATGCACCCTACAACCGAAACACATTTTAAAAAGCAAGAGATCTAAGATGTCACATCTCTTATCCTGTAATTTCACTAACTAATCTGCACCCTACAACTGGAACACAGCTTACAAAGAAAGAGATGTAAGATGTCACGCCTCTTATCCTGTATTTTCACTGCCTATTTTGCACCCTACTACCGAAACACAGCTTACAAAGAAAGAGATGTAAGATGTCACATCTCTTATCCTGTAATTTCACTCCGTATTTTGCACCCTACAACCGAAACACAGCTTACAAAGAAAGAGATGTAAGATGTAATCCTGTAATGTCACTCCGTATTTTGCACCCAACAATCGAAACACAGCTTACAAAGAAAGAGATGTGAGATGTCACATCTCTTATCCTGTAATTTCACTCCGTATTTTGCACCCTACAACCGAAACACAGCTTACAAAGAAAGAGATGTAAGAACACTCTTATCCTGTAATTTCAATTTTGCAGAAACACAGCTTACAAAGAAAGAGATGTAAGATGTCACATCTCTTATCCTGTAATTTCACTCCGTATTTTGCACCCTACAACCGAAACACAGCTTACAAAGAAAAAGATGTAAGATGTCACATCTCTTATCCTGTAATTTCACTGCGTATTTTGCAGCCTACAACCGAAACACAGCGTACAAAGAAAGAGAAGTAAGATGTCACATCTCTTATCCTGTAATTTCACTCCGTATTTTGCACCCTACAACCGAAACACAGCTTACAAAGAAAGAGATGTAAGATGTCACATCTCTTATCCTGTAATTTCACTCCGTATTTTGCACCCTACAACCGAAACACAGCTTACAAAGAAAGAGATGTAAGATGTCACTTCTCTTATCCTGTAATTTCACTCCGTATTTTGCACCCTACAATCGAAACACAGCTTACAAAGAAAGAGATGTGAGATGTCACATCTCTTATCCTGTAATTTCACTCCGTATTTTGCACCCTACAACCGAAACACAGCTTACAAAGAAAGAGATGTAAGATGTCACATCTCTTATCCTGTAATTTCACTCCGTATTTTGCACCCTACAACCGAAACACAGCTTACAAAGAAAGAGATGTAAGATGTCACATCTCTTATCCTGTAATTTCAATGCCTATTTTGCACCCTACAACCGAAACACAGCTTACAAAGAAAGATGTAAGATGTCACATCTCTTATCCTGTAATTTCACTGCGTATTTTGCACCCTACAACCGAAACACAGCGTACAAAGAAAGAGAAGTAAGATGTCACATCTCTTATCCTGTAATTTCACTCCGTATTTTGCACCCTACAACCGAAACACAGCTTACAAAGAAAGAGATGTAAGATGTCACTTCTCTTATCCTGTAATTTCACTGTCTATTTTGCACCCTGCAACCGAAACACAGCTTACAAAGAAAGAGGTGTAAGATGTCACATCTCTTATCCTGTAATTTAACTAACTAATCTGCACCCTACAACTGGAACACAGCTTTTAAAGAAAGAGGTGTAAGATGTCACGCCTCTTATCCTGTAATTTCACTAACTAATCTGCACCCTACAACCGAAACACAGCGGGGGGAAAGGAGATTGTTAGTAATGTGGAGTAATTACCCCATTGCTAGCATGCTGCTGTACCATATCAGGTTGACCTCTGGTTCCTGGAAACCATCGTGGTTGGTAAATCTTGGTAAATTTGTCATGATGTGCTAACTGACCTGACCTCATGCTCATCTTAACATCCTCCACTGGTGCCCCGCCACCGTTAGCACAGATTGCACCATTTGTATTGCACCATTCCATTATCATATATTAAAAAAAACCGAAACACAGCTTACAAAGTAAGCTGCTTGGCGGCTGAAGTGAGTGAGACTGAGTACATAAGTAAAAAAATACATAAAATGTATGGAAACCTGGGAAAAATAAATTCATATGAGGTTGAACATCAGAACATTGAGTTTAATAATCTTAGAATATTCATCCATCTAGTCCTAAGTCAAGCAGAGCTTGTGTTAAGGGTACTAGGCAACTGATATAAATGCTTACAATATTTTTTTTTACAAATACAGACACATGTATAAATGATATATTTGCATCGTGCTAGGAATCGAACCCGCAACCATTGCCAATAAGGTGTGCTAAATCGCTAGATCAGTGGCCGTAAAAACTATACAATTTTTATTGCATTCATATACTCATGTTTTACAGTCGGTTAAGTGCAAACATTGCAAAAGCCTACCAGTTGCCCAGTGCTCTAGTTACGATGCTCATGAGAGGAACACTGGAAATACAAGGGTATCGTTACTACGGACTCGAAACTAGAAGAAAGCAATCGAGTTCCATTCGAGTTCTTACGTGAGTTGCTAAAACATATTTTTACTGATAATGAAATGATGTATTCGCCTGCGCTAACAGTTTTCGCTGGCGGGGCACCAGTGGAGGATGATAGGATGAGCATGAGGTCAGGTCAGTTAGCCCATCGTGACAAATTCGCCAAGAATTTATCACGATGGTTTCCAGGGGAACCGCGTGGATGTTAACCTGACTTGGTACATCGTTAGAAATAAGATCATTAATCTACATTAGTAACAATAACCTTTCCGCCCAATAAAAAAGTTTTGTAAAACAGTTTCCGACAGCGACCTGCAACTGATGTGGTAAATTCTCAGGAATTCATTACGATGATTTCCCGGGGGAACTGTTTGGAGGTCAGACTGACCTTACTAGTAATGGAATTATTAATCCACATTACTAACAACCCCCTTTTACCCAACAATAAACGATGGTAAAGTGGCAGAATATGAAACAAATGGTAGGTATTTAACTGGAATGGTAAACAATCTAAAAGGTTCACATAATGAAAAGTTTACCACTTTCGCCTATTTGTATACATGAATAGCACCACGATACGTTTTTTTTATAACACAGGGGACAAATGAGCATACGGCTCACCTGATGGTAAGTGATTACCGCCGCCCATGAGCACCCGCAACACCAGGGGAATTGCAAGTGCGTTGACGTGACACAGTGGTGCCCCTAATTTGTTGTAATTCTGGACGATTGAGGTGAAAATGACGGCCTTGGTGGGGTTCCTTTAGTACAACGCGATTGCTTCCGATGATCGCGGGTTCGATTCCTCGCACGATGCAAACATTGTATTCATGAGCATGATTGTTTGTATCGATCTGGGTGTTTTGTATATATATTATATATATGCCTATATAAAAAAAATATTTATCTATATATTTAGATCTGTTGTCTAGTATCCATAACACAAGCTCTGCTTAGCTTGGGAGTAGATGACGTTGTGTGAATTGTCTAGAGGTATTATTATTATTATTTCACTGCCATATCTGTTCATTTAATAGATTTAATTTTATATTTACAGTCACCGTTCAATCGAAACACAACTTACAAAGCAAGCTGCTTGACTGCTGAAATATCATAGAGATACTCGAAACTAAATTTACTTTCAATCGAAAATTCGAGATACATTGGTAATTTGAAAACCAACCCTATTTTCTAGGGTTCAACACACCCACGTCTCCCCTCTGTATAGCTTCTTCGTATATTGTTCTCTCTCTACCGTATACCTAATATTATACTTGTCTCTTTCTAACATTAAGGAAGTTCTCTTTCCCGCGCAAAATCGATTTTGCCACATTGCCTCAGTACGCGCGTGTTTATGGTGAAAATTGCACCGAATTCTGTAGGAAAATAGACTTGCAAAGTGTTGAAAACGTATATGTACAAAAATTATATTAATAATTGTGTTTTTCCGTAAAAAAATAAAAGTAATCTTGGTTTCTTGCGAAGTTCACATCAAGAAGGACATTTATTTGTCCGGTGAGTGCTTTTGCGTATAAAATTATTGTAATGTTTTTTTTTAATATTGCTTGATTCTAAATATGAAAATTTTGTTTTCTTTTTCTCGCATTGCATTAGAAATGAGGTTTTATTGTTATTTTTTTATCTTTATAATGATTTTAATAACGAAATAAGATATGCTTTCTGTGTATTTATTAAAATAGATGTACTACAATTTTAGAAATCTCGAAACTAGGAAATGTATAAAAATTATGAAGAAATCGTTATTTCTTTTGTAGTTGTAGAATTCTCTATGAATGAACAATAATATTTGGTTGTGTACATATATTATAGGTTATTTTATCTCACGTACATCGTGAATATATGTTGTAAACATAACATATCAAAATGTTTTTTTCTTTTATAAATGAAAACTTATTACAGAAGAAATAAATATATAATAAATAAAAAAATAAATTTATTATGTACGATTTTGTGTATGTTGTATCGAATTGTAATACATATTGTGTATGTTGGTTACAATATCGTCAAGATTCACTTTACGTTTCACTGTGTTAGCAGATATTAACTATGTAGGATGTTTATCAATTCTCTATAGTAGGTAGTATGTAGTTATAGGACCTTATTTTAGAATATTCAGCACTTAATATAAGCAGTAATCACGCACCTCCGTTTAATGTTAAAGGTCGCCCAATATTTTGAAAGATGTTCATCCCTTTTGGGACTAACGGCACAGATAACATAATATTGCATCCTAACGAATATTAGTTTTCTTAACCGCTATAATATTATAATTTATTTATATTTAAAAACAAAATAAATTTTCCATCTCTTATTTCTAATTTATTATTATTATTAAACCTAAAATGTTGTATTAAGACAGATAATAATATAAAAAGGCACATTTTGAAATCTTATATATAAAATTCTCGTGTCACATTATTACTCCTCCGAAACGGCTTGACCGATTTTTATAATATTTTATATGCATATTCAGTAAGTCTGAGAATCGGCTACTATCTATTTTTCATACCACTCAGTGATAAGTGTGGTCCATATCTGACATTTTTTTTAAATTTTTTGGACAATATTTTGAGTTTAATTTTTATAATGTCGCATAAAAAATACATACAACCCTAAATTTTCACCCTTCTATCACCAACATCTATTTTATTATTATATTATCTTATATATAAAATCCTCGTGTCACAGTTTTCGTTCCCATACTCCTCCGAAACGGCTTGACCTATTCTCATGAAATTTTGTGAGCGTATTGAGTAGGTCTGAGAATCGGCCAACATCTATTTTTCATCCCCCTAAATGTTAGGGGTAGTCCACCCCTAATTTATTTTTATTTTAAGGCAAAACAACGTTTGCCGGGACAGCTAGTATTATTACATATATTAATAGCGATTTTAATTTATATTTATATATAACGTAAATATAAACTAAAATAAAGTATATAAAATAAATATAAAAATAACGTTTGCTCAGTCAACTAGTGATAATATAAAAGTGTAATAACTTGCATGTACCTAATGAATAAACTTTAAAAATTAAGATTCACGATGGTTTTGCGTATACTGCGTGAATGTAAATCTGACCTGAACAATCTTATTAATATTATAAACGCAAAAGTTTGTGTGTATGGATGGATGTTTGTTACTCTTTCACGCAAAAACTACTGAACAAATTTTGATGAACTTTTACATTAATATAACTTATACATCAATATGACAACAAGGCTATGAATTTCACACGGGTGTAAGTGCGAGCACAGGTATACTATCTCCTTCCCTCCTTGCAATAATTGCTCCCATGCAGTCTGGGTGGATCGTAATTCCCTCCACCACTATATAACGTACCTAGGTGTCTGGCCGTATACCTATATGACCAGACACGCTGTACGGTGATTCAGTATTAGATTGCAATTTCCGGGAGTCTAGCGGCAAATTCGATATAAACGAAGTGATTCACTGTTGCCACCGGGAATTGGATTCATGAGATTTAATCTCTGCTTCTCATTCAATTATTTATAGTCTGTATTTTTACCTCGGAGACAAATTTGACACTAGCTTTTCCCCACGACTTTAATTCAATTAATAATAACTAATAAATTCCGCGTGGAATTTAACTTTCATTTTCTAAAATAAAAGTAACCTAAGTTACTCCTTATTACATCAGTTACCTGCAAAAAAAAAGCTCATATTTTTTCCACTAATAATATTATTGCAAGCAATTAAATAATCAAAGGTTTTTATACATAAGTAATATAAATAATAATTTATGATGAATATTACACTTAACAATGAATAAAATTAATTAATGTAAAAGACTAAAAAATAAATAATGATGAATGAATCACTGCCACATTTATTATTCCCTTTCAAGATGGAAGTACTTTCATTTTAATTAAATGGAAGCCAAATATTTGAACACTTGATGGTAAGTGGTAAGAGTTACTTATGCACCACCACACTCAAATGCCATTCATGATGATGATTATGTCATCCGCTAGTCCTTATAGACTGCAGGGTGTGGGCCTGGAGCTAGGCTCTTTGCCCGGGCGTACTGCTGGGGTGAACCAGCGTCATTCGTTTACCGGCCGGCCTGCCTGCCAGCCGGCCGGAGGGCGTCTGCTTCTCAGCAGCCGCCTGTTGCCATTCATGCATTGCCATTCTCATGGTATTTCCCGTTTCTGTAAAGGCAAAAGGACTCAGCCTAAACAGCCAAAATATACTAATTTATCTAGAAAATTAATCTGACAGAATGTAAAATGATAAACTTAAAACGATAAATTAAATAAAAATATTTTGTGTCAGAATAAAAAATTATACAATAAAATAACAAAACAGCGAAATGCTCGGCAGTTTATTTCGCTCGCTTTTTTCTGTAAAACTGTCTATCTAGGAAATGAATGACTTCCTTTATGCTTCACCCTCATTAGGGCAGCAGGATAGGGTGTTACAGAGGGCTAGATCACGGTGCTATACCGCTTTGTTTGCATCTTCCCTCAACTTGACGCTTTTCAACTTTATAACAGGGTGGTTGAATGAGTATGTTCCCATTTACGTACCTTTTTGTCGTTTTTCTTTGTGGTTTGCGCGCGTAAACATAGTTTCTTGCAAAGTTTTTTTTTTCTTTTTTATGGCTAAGCAGCAGGCTAAGGCCTGTTAAGCTAAGGCAGCAGGTTAAGATCACGATGCTATACCGCTTTGTTTCTGTCTTATTCATCATGCCTCTTTCAACTTTATGGTTGAATGAGTATGTTTCCCTTTACCACAGATAAGATATAGTTTTTTGTCAAAGTTTTTCTTTGTGGATTGCGCGCGAAAATATAATTTCTTGTAAAGTTTATTTTTTTACATAATGGTTTTGCTAGTATACTATGTAACTGATACTATTAGTTTTTATTTACACTAATATTATACAGAAGTTTGGTAAGTTTTGTGAGGTTGTAGGGAGTAATCTCTGTATCTACTGAACGGATTTCGAAAATTCTTTTAGTTTTGCATATCCCATTTATCGAGGAATGCTATAGGCTAAATACCACCTCGCTGCAACCATTAGGTGCGGAGCTGCAATAAAAAAATGTAGCAAAAACGGAGGAAATGTGACACAGACGGAGTTAGCGGATCAGATTGTTCTTATAATGTACGTGTATTATTCGGAGTTTTGCTTTTAATATTATATAACTATCTTTTATTATCTTTTTTTAATATATATTATTCGGTAAATTTTACTTAGTTGTTATTTTCATAAATTTATTTATTCTTATTTTTCATTGGTTCTAATATGTCACTTTTGTTATCTTTTGTTATCTATTTTTTTTTAACATATCATTTGTTAAATCTGGTATAGTTGTTATTTTCATAAACTTAAATAAATTTATCTTTGTTGTTATTTCCCATGATTAACAATAAATAAACAATAACGTAATTGTTATTTTTTTGCTTGTAGATAAATATCGGCATGCCGTGGTTGGCGTGAGATGGATGGCATACAAATGGAGCCAATCGGCAAATACAAGGCCGATAGAAACGGTTCTGCTAAGGGTAAGTTTCCGATCCCCTACATAGATAGGCGACGTAAGGTACAACTCAATTCTCCGATATACAAAGTAATCTCTAAGCTCAATACATATATACATATATATATATATATAGATCTTCTTTATATACAAAAATTTCGTGTCACGTTGTTTGTCCACGATGGACTCCTTAAACTACTGTACTGATTGCAAATTTGATTTGCACATTGTGTGCAATTTGATCCAACTTGAAAGATACGATAACTTACATCCCAATTTATAGTCGCAATATTATTTAATTCAAGAACCTTAGCCATAGTAACGCATGGCCGGGTCTGCTATATAACTTAGCGGTTACTCGCTATTTCACTAGTTGCTGTTTTTAAGACAATATAAGATATACATAGATTTGTTTCGGATTACTCTAATGCTGTTAGCCTCAACTGGCCTTTACAGCTTCATCGGACGATAGGGCGAGTGCAGATGGCACTCCAAACTCCAAACTCGCGGAAGGACTTTTTTTTTGTGAATGATAGTGGAATGGTGCCCTCACCTGCGCTGACGGTTTACGCTGGCGGGGCACCAGTGGAGGATGACAAGATGAGCTGTCATCCTCCACTGGTGCCCCGCCAGCGTCAGCGCAGGCGGTTGCACCATTCCACTATCATTCACAAAAAAAAAATGAGGTTAGATCAGTTAGCCGATCGTGGTAAATTCACCATGAATTTATCACGATTGTTTGAACCGTGTGGAGGGGGGAACCGCGTGGAGGTCAACCTGACATGGTACATTGCTAGTAATGGGGGCATGAGTCCACATTACTAACAATCCCCTTCACCCCTCGCGGAAGGACTTATAGGAGCGGCTGATGTTCAACTCCTGCCTGACGGGTATGACTTTAGTCTGAGGGCACCGCTAGGGCTTCGAACCTCAGCTCAGGCCGTCGTAATGTAGAATTGGACGGGGGATCGATCGGAGGGGATAAATACATGTAATATACATAGCTCTATAAGATAATCGCCGTGATTCCATCTTTACGTTAAATTTCATTTAGAACTGTGATTTTCACACTTTCCATGAGGTAGAGTAGTTTTTTTTTATGAGAGGTTTGGGCTATTGTGAGGTGCATTTTGACCTGTAGCACTGCGACTGTTAAGGAAGGAGATCAAGACGAGACGAGCAAAGAAAACGTACAGTATAGTCACAGATATTATATTGACTTTAAAACAATATAGTTTTTTTTAAATATAGACAATAAAATCGATTTTTTTTATGGATGATAATGGAATGATGCACCCGCCTGCGTTAACGGTTTACGCAGACGGGGCACCAGTGGAGGATGACAAGATGAGCATGAGGTCAGGTCAGTTAGCCCATCGTGCCAAATTCACCAAGAATTTATCACGATGGTTTCCAGGGGAACCGCGTGGAGGTCAACCTGACTTGGTACATCGTTAGCAATAAGATCATTAATCTACATTACTAAAAATCCCCTTTCCGCCCAATAAAAAAGGTTTGTAAAACAGTTTCCAACAGTGATCTACATAGATCTAATGTTCTCGCTCTTTCAAAGTTCGCTACCTACAGCATCAGGGACAAGAATTGAGTAGAGTAGTCAGCCATTCTTTGTGACAACCATGAAGACAAAAATACAAGTCCTATTGTTAATTAATTTGCTTTTATCCTCAGCAGCTGCTTGGCGTAATATGGTTGATCAAGATTTAGACGATGTCGCATTTCTTGCTGGTAAGTGGAATTGCTAAAATATATACATATAATAAAATAATACATGTAAGATATATCTTTACATAGTATAAATCAAAGACGCAAAATAGAATAAACAACACATTTCTCCAATTTATAGAATCCACTGTTCTTGGAATCACACTAGATAATAAAACTCAATGCGATACTCGAATTCAGAGCTTTGCTCCAAAACTGTTTCGCAGCTTACGCCGTGCAGGTTAGACAATATGGTTCAGTTGAGTTTCTTGCCAGTTCTCAATTGAATCTGTATTCTGAATCCGGTTCAGAACGTTAGGGAAAATATCTTGGTTAGACGACACCAAAGACTTCACTAAAGTTAAACGGACCTCTCAAGAGAACCTATATTGTGGGCTGTTGTGAAGGAATACCATATTAGGTTTGTTTTCTAAAATCTCCAAAGCTAGAAGGACAAGCAAAGAGAAAAAAAAATAGAAGTTTTGTCATTCGACATCAAAAGGGAATAGAATAGTTTTGGATTACCAATCCGTACAAAATAAAATAATAGTGTGGCCTGTATTTTTTGAAACGAAAATAATTATTGGAAAAGGCAGGAGAAATACGATTTTTCCTAGGAAGAACATCAAAAGTAAAGAAAAGTAAACAAAGTAACACCAAACTTACACACCATTGGTCAGGAACGTCCCGATATACTACAGTTTAGTGGCCACGCACTCTGAAGTGTATATTTTAATAAAAACAATCATATTAATTCAAAATCAATAATTTTCTTGTTTTAAAATAGTTGAAATACGGTGAGTCGATGTTCTTCCAGATCTTATTTTAAATTGATTTTTTCTTCTAAATTTGAAACTTAAGTGGCCACATGTTTTTATTGGTGGGCAGTATTTTCAAACACCCTTTGCTCTAGTAATAAAGGTGATACAATCTGCTTAGACTAAAGAAGTTCTTATTATTTGAATAAAGTATAGAAAATTCTTTATTCGAATAAACTTACGTTTAAGCAATCATAAATAGTCATTACTTATTTTTTGATCTACCGCTCATTTGGAAAGTTATCTCATCAGAAGAAGAACGAGAAATAAAATGATGTTGCACTTCTAAATAATTTAGTTGTAACTTTACATTTTTAAGTTGAAATGTGTGAATACAAACTACCAATTACTAATTCATTAGAGTCAAAATATTAAGTATACAACTAATTGGTTGGCAAACTAGATGGAAACTAGAGGGAAGGGCAGGAACCTCTCAATTCGAATTTTCTTTTAGAAATCGATAGTATTTTCTCGCCATGCTCCTGCATAATCATTTCATAACGGAATTTGCGTTTTCTGCAAATCGAAACATTAATTCATAGGTTTTAAAAGGAGGTTTGAAACATAACTTTGTAATGTTTATATTGTTAATTTTTTTTAAGAATACAACACTTATATACAACATATTCAATATATAGATATATGTATAAACATACACATACATACATTTGTAAATGTAAATATATGTACAATTGTTGTGGAAGCAAGCAGAACAGATTAATCCGATATATACAGCTAAATATAAAATACCTACATATAAAAGAACCTAATCTAATTTATTATTTACTACCTCACTTCAGACGTAACTTTGTCGATTTGGGTTCGTGTGAAATAGGGTTGTCAACTCTCCCTAAAAAAATATTTAATGAATTATGGATTCTACAGCCGGAGGTTGTAAAAAAATTTAACCTTTTTCTTAATTATTCTTTATTATAATAAATATATGATATATACATATAATGTTTGTAGTCTGAAGTTAGAACACACAGTAATCTAAATATATATGACTCAAAGGTGACTGACATAGTGATCTATCAACGCACAGCCCAAACCACTGGACGGATCGGGCTGAAATTTGGCATGCAGGTAGATGTTATAACGCTAAGAAAGGATTTTGATGAATTGTACCCCCAAGGGGATAAAATAGGGGATGAAAGTTTGTATGAAACTTTGTAAATTTTAAACCGATCGGGCTGAGACTTCGCATGCATAAAGCTACTATAACGTAGACATCCCCTAAGAAAGGATTTTGATAAATTCCACCCCTAAGGGGTGGATAAAATAGGGGATGAAAGTTTATAAAAATCTTGTAGGCCCTAATTTTTACACACTCTAAACAAAAGTAAAACCGCAAAAACTACACCTAATTAAAAACCTAATTAATAATAATACTTACTACTACGCGAGCGAAGCCGCGGGCAAAAGCTAGTTACTTTTATAAAATTATATTATATGAAATGAAACCCATACAGGGTATGACGCGATATAGCGTGATACTAACAAAGCATTTGGTGCCGCGTGCACTGGTATGGACGACAGTGCAATTGCAGCGATTCTCACAGACTAGCTTTGCGTAACAAATGTAACTTTTTTATTATGTGTCAGCAACATATTTACCGTGATATAGCGTCGCCCTCGTCAACATATCAGGAGCTCTTTAACCATATTATCATGGTAAATCTCTAAATTATATAATACCCGTCCCGCCATTACAAATGTTTTAATTTCTCAGCTTGTTCTATACCATAATACATATGTATTATATATAAACCTTCCTCTTGAATCACTCTATGTATTGTTGAAAACTGCATTAAAATTCGTTGAGTAATTTAAAAGATATAAGTGAATAGACAGCCACCGCTGTACTTTGTTGTATATTATGTAAAGATGTTTATTGGTATTATATTTAATGTATACATATATGTAGCTTTGATATACTATATGTAGTAGTAGAAAAAAATATATGTAAGGTATAAATCTATAATAGTGGAGTCAACAAACACATCTATACATATAAATAAAATTGGAGTGTCTATTTGTAATATTGAAATAACCGTTTTTTACTACATGAATGTCTGTCTGTCTGTCTTTTTGTTCCAGCTAATCTCTGAAATAGTATACAATAAATACCGTAGTATGTATATAGCTACAATGCTCATAACCTTAACTTTTACCTTACCTTACATAGAATAAAAATATGAATACCTTACCATTTACTTATCTTAGTTGACAACCCTACAAATAATGCTCAGTTACAGTTGATGTAATAAAATATTCATCCCCATATGACAAAGGGCTTGCAGGGTCGGAACCCGATTAGCTTAGCGGCCGTCAGACAACACAATGACTCTACCTTCATAATACTAGTGGCTTAGTCCTCATAAGCCCTTATAAAAGCTAAGCCAAGTACAATTTGAGCAACACACAAGTTTCTTACTCTTCTTGTGATGAGTCTGCGTTCCGAATGAGTGGTAGAATAAAAAATATGTGACTATTCAAAAGTATATTTGAATAAAGAATATTTCTATTTCTATTTAATTATATCATGAATCTTATAGTTCTTAGTTTGAACTCTTTCCATAGACACATTCTATTTTTTTTTTAATTAGACACAGACAAAGTCCATTTAGGTATTCGAGGCGCCGGTCGTAGTGTATAGGTGGCGGTAGTGTTAGGTCGTCGACGATTTTACAGTCGACGCAACTAGACATTTTGTTGACGATGAACTATATTATAAAACTGTTTAAACTAATTTAAATGTGAACTGTAGACTAGTTTAATAGTTCACGCACCAAAAACATAACAAAACGGTTCGTTCATCCAACGGCCACCTCTAGTGTATAGTTCTCAGTTTCAGCACATTCCGTAGACGTCTTTGAGATTTATTTTTTTAATTAGACACAGAGAAAGCCGAGATGCGCGAGGCGCCGCTCGCAGTTATAGTTCATAGTTTATGTCCTTCCATAGACACGCCCTGGGTTGGTTTTTTTTTTATTAGATACAGACAAAGCCCGCGAGGCGCCCGAATTTGCACGAGGCGTAGCTCGCAGTTTTTTTTTTTTTGTCCATACATAGACACGACATTATGTTTTTTTTTTATCAGACGCAGACGAAACCCTCGAGGTACAATGACCCCGTTGCAGTGTATGGTTCTTAGTTTGAGCCCAGTCCATAGACACGTCTTTAATATTTCTTTATTTTTTTTAGACACAGACAAGGCCCGCGAGGCGCGTGAGCTGCGCGAGGCGCCGGTCGCCGTCTGTTCGCAGCGCCGCGCCCTCTGCCTCGCCGCCCTGGTTTTCTCGGCTATGTTTGCGACTGCCCTACTCGTTGTATACGCGACTCCACAACCTGGTGAGTCTCTTTACCTGTACTGTTGAATATAATAATAATAACAATCTCATGACAATTAACACAGACAGCCTTCTAGCCCCAAGTTAAGCTGACTAAAGCTTGTGTTATGGGTACTACACAGCTGATAGAAATGCATATTATAAATAGAAAACACAAAGACCGACACAAACAATCATATTCATGAATTCAAAAGTTTGTGCTGTGCGCGGAATCGAACCCGCGACCATCGGAACTAAGGCTAAGGTGTGCTAAACCGCTAGACCACTACCGAGGCCATCAAAGGCCATCATAACCCTGGACAATACATTAAAGGAAGTAAGAAAGTGGCGCCGGTGTCGGCAATATTACGCCGACTCCAAATAAATGGGATAAAAAGGCGCAATTGACGATGAACCCTGGACAATACACACAGCGCCAATAATGTAATGTTATGTTATCTTTCAGATTGTCCCTGTGCTGAAGACAACCCACTCGTACCTAGGAACCCTCCAACTGATGCTGAGGGTAATGCTGCGGCGGCTAACAAGTAAGTTTACTTTTACACTTGCTAGAGTTGTACCTTTTTTACGTGGGGAAAATCCCTCATGGAGACCCGTTCGTATCAGGGGTTGGACGGACGGGTACTATGAGACCCTTATCAAGAACTCCTACGATATTCCTCCTCGCCGCCATAGTGCCGGGGTCGCGGGATCGACTTCGTAATCGACCGCGATTCCAGCCGCAGTTGCCGGAAGCGGTCCCTTAACGCGTGGGGAACTCTTCCCAGTCCTCCCGCCTCTGCCCACGGTGCTGGAGACGCTCCGGAATACAAGATGCGCCTCCCCCTCCTCGCCTCCCGGCTCCTGTTGCGTGTACGCCAGATTGATTGATTTATTGAAGCTCAAGTTGCACATAAACTGTAAAATATACTGACAAAAAATAATAAAAAATTATAGGCAAAATATATAGGCAAAACTATATATTTGAGCGCAGAGATGGCTGGCTCATACTTCATACTGTGGACAAGTGCTGCTTGTAGTGTCTGCCCTAAATACTACGACTGATTTAATCTTATTTAGTTACTTAACCAGTTGTGTATTTAATATTTTGACTCTAATGAATTAGTGGTATTCACACTTTTTGACTGAAAAATGCAAAGTTACAATAATTATTTAATAAAGCACCGAGCAAAATTTTCTCGTTCTTCTTGTGTTGAGACAGCTTTCCGAATAAGCAGTAGATTAAAAAAATAAGCATAACTATCATCATCATCTGCTTCTTCCTTATCTCATATATTAGGGATCGGCGTACTATGTTCTTCTCTTCTATTCATCCCTGTTCGCAGTCATTAACGAGATGACTGCGAACAGGGATGAATGGAAGAGAGCAATCAACACGCAAGTTTTTTTCCGTTCTGGTGATGAGACATATTTCCGAATGAGCGGTAAATTAAGAAAATAAGCATGACTATCATCATCATCATCTGCTTCTTCCTTATCCCATTCATTTGTGGTCGTCGTAATATGTACGTCTCCTCCATTATTCATCATTTACTCCCTTTCTTGCCATATCATCTTTCACGCAGTCCATCCATCTCTCTTTCGACGTTCCCCTGCTCTTATAACCATCCATATTCATATGTAACACCTTCCCTATGCATGACTATATGTATTTAAACTAAAAATACTTTTTTTTTAACCATAGAGAACGAATAGCGAGTAACGGCGCAGTATTCCCATGGCGCGGAGCTCGACTACCGACATTCGTAATACCAAAGCACTACAGTCTGTGGTTGCATCCCAATCTCACTACAGGAGAGCTACGAGGTAAATATGATATCCACTAATATACTAAACAATGGAAATATTTCATTTATTTTATTTGTAAAAGATTTTGGGTACTTTACGTTATGGACAACATTACCCTTTTTTATTGGGGGGTTTAGGCTATTGTCAGGTGCTTGGACCTGCAGCACTGCGACCTACATAGATCTATTGTGCTCGCCCTTTTTTGCCAAACTGAAGAGGAAACGCCACTACACATCATATGTGATTGTAGCCCACTCATGCATAAACGAGATATCTCCTTTGGAAAGTGCACACTCTATCCTGAGGAGATAACCATCGCTCATATGAATATCCTGAAATTCTTGTCCCTGACGGGTCTAGGTAGCGAACTCTGATAAAACTGCGTGCACAGTAGATCTATGCTGGTTGCAGTACTACAGGTCTTCAGCATCAAGTAATAGCCCAAAGCCTCTAATAAACATGTCTATGATAATGTTGATGATGGTAATGATGATGTCGTTGGTGGTGGTGATAATGATGATGATACTCAAATCCCCAGGTGAGGTGTCCATTGACTTCAAAGTAGACCGGGACACCACCTTCGTGGTGCTGAATGTACGGGATATGAATGTGACAGAACGGGCGTTGTTCAAGAGCGGGGGCTCCTTAGGACCCAAAGTTGTGAAGACCCTGGATTACCCGCCAGCTGATCAAACTTACATCGAGTTTAAGGTAAATAGGTTCAAACATTAGTGTCAAGAAGTGTACTAGAGCAATAAATGCATATTTGATGATAGCTGCAGACCAGCTGGAGGTACTTCGGCAATTCTTTTACCATTTCCATGCATGTATATTTTTTAATGAGTGATAATGGTATGTACACCCACTTGCGCAAACGGTTTACGCTGGCGGGGCACCAGTGGAAGATACGATAAGCAGATCAGGTCAGTTAGCACATCGTGCTAAATACACCATTCAGCATGGACCACCTCGTGGCGATTTCTTGAAATTTATCACGATTGTTTCCAGGGGAAATCGCGTGGAGGTCAACCTGACACGGTACATTGTTTGCAATGAGGTTATTAGTCCACATTACTAACGACCTCCCATACATGTACATATATTAGAGACGTGTGTTTTTGTTAATTCCCTAGAAAATGGTGAATTGAATCAAAGGCAAACCAGAGACTCGGTACACCTTGGTAGTCTAAATATGTACATGGAACTTAAGTTCTAATGGTCGCGAGATATTGACCGGCACGTTCCGAATTTACTTTAATATAAATTTCAGGCGAGTAAAAGCGCGGGCACAGCTAGTACAGTATATACGGTACTCAAAAAAATAGTATATGTAAAAAAATGTACTCTTTGTCTGAGTATGTTCTTAATCTATAAATTGGCTGGATCTATTATGACGGGACTTTCACTCGCAGATAGCTAATGTTATAAGCAGTAACTTTTAAATTGGCTGGATCTATTATGACGGGACTTTCACTATCAATTTTATTTATTTTAATAAAAAAAAGTTAAAAGAAACCGCAAGTAACAGTTAATAAATGAGTGTTTCTTCATCAGGAAAAACTTCGCCGCAAATACAATTACACTCTGAGTCTTCGGTTCATCACCAAATTGGAGAGGAATGATAAGCAGAGGGGCTTCTTTCTGACTGGCAGCCACAAACAGTGAGTCCTTTTTTTTCGGACTACTCTAATGCTGTTAACCGCAGCTGGCCGTTACAGCTTCACTGGACCTTCCTCCGATCTGACATAGAGGCCACCACTGACTATCTCTCACTGCACAAGGTATTCAACATTCTGTTAGGGTTCACATCAATTTAAAAATTAATTTAGTCTTAGGGCACCGCTAGGGGTCTCGAACCTCGGCTCAGGTCCCCGTTTGAATTGCACGGGGGATTGATCGTGAATGTAGAGGTATTTAATTGGAATGGTAAACAATCTGACGGCCCACCTGATGGTAAGTGGTAACCGTCGCCTATATACATGGACAGCACTACAGACATCACGTTATCTTATGGATGATGGAATGGTGCATCCTGATAGAGATATTGAGTGGATTACATATATAGTAGTAAATATAATTTACTTCGTTCCGATTGCAGTTGCACGATACATACAAACTGTTACTTAGCAACAATACTTATTTTAAATGTGATGGATTATACTTTTTCTACTTCAATCAATGTGCCTAATACATCCGTCTGTGCTAACGGTATACGCTGGCGGGGCACCAGTGGAGGATGATAAGATGAGCATCAGGTCAGGTCAGTTAGCCCATTGTGACAGTTCACCAAAGATTTATCACGATAGTTTCCTGGGGGAACCGCGGTCAAACTGATATGGTACATTGCTAGCAATAACATCATCAGTCCACATTACTAACAATCCCCTTTCCCCAGACATCACGTTATCATGTGATACGCCTGGTATTACTCATGCATTGTCATTCCAGAAGACTTCTTATCAGAAGAATCTTATGCCTCTTATTCTGTAGTATAACTAGGTACTCGGCCCGGCTTCGCACGGGTGTACATGTATTATATATATAAACCTTCCTCTTGAATCACTACATCTATTTAAAAAAAACGCTTCAAAATCCGGTGCGTAGCTTTAAAAAAATAAGCATACATAGGGATGGACAGACAGCGACAGCGACTTTGTTTTATGCTATGTAATGATGGGTTTAAAAACTTTATTTAAAAGAGCAACACACACGTTTCTATCTCATTCTTCTTGTGTTGTCTGCATTCCGAATGAGTGGTGGAATAAAAAAATGTGACTATTCAAAAGTGCTTATATTAAGTTTATTTGAATAAAGATTATTTCTATTTCTATTTCTATTTAATTGTATCACTAACCTTATAGTTCTTAGTTTAAACTCTTACCATAGACACATCCTAAGATTTGTTTTTTTTTTAATTAGACTCAGACGTAGTGTACGTAGTAGTGGTAGGTCGTCGACGATTAAGTTTATTTGAATAAAGAATATTTCTATTTATGTTTCTTATATAATAAGTATTGTTTTTTTTTTATTTTACATTTTATTTAAATTTATTACTAGTATTTACATAGCCTAATTGTACAACTAAGAACCTAAAATTAAAAAGCTTAAAAAATATATATAATATGATGACTAAAATATATTAAAATGAGTGCCTTTAGGCAAGGTTCAGAAGATACTGGCAGCGTTCCCTTTTGAATAGCTAGACTAATTCTTTGTCCAAGGTCATAAAATAAATTTATTTCTAATATATTTTTCTAGCCGATGTGCTGTTTCGCGGTTCTGGTTGACGCATGCGCGGTCAGCGTTCCCTTGCTTGGATGAACCGCATCTGAGGGCTACCTTCAAGCTCACGATAGTCCGAGACAGGTAAGCATCTATTAGACAGGTCTGAGAATCTAGCTGCTTTAATCAAGCGATGCCGCTGTTTCACACATTTCGACTTGACAATGTATAGTTTTTATTTAAAAGCGCAACACGCAAGTTTCTTGTTCTTTCTTCTTGTGATGAGAAAGCTTTCCGAATGATGCGGTAGATTGAAAAAATGATAACTATGACAATTCAAAAATGCTTAAATTAAGTTTTTTGAATAAAGGATTTTCTATTATATTGTTTATAAGCTGCTGAATTTGATTTGGGTTCTAAATCCAGTAGGTTAAATCCTTATGATAGATGCACCATCTTTGTCTGTACGTCACAAATAAATCAATTAAAACATCTTTAATGTAAACAAATAGACGGCGTCGATGATCTAGCGATCTACCACCGCCGTACTTCCGATGGTCGTGGGTTCGATTCCTCGCACCCTACAAACATTTTTATTCATTGTTGGTATAGCACATCTCTTTACCTCTGATAGTCGCGGGTTCGATTCCTCGCACGCTACAAACATTTTTATTCATTGTTGGTATAGCACACCGCTTTACCTCTGATAGTCGCAGGTTCGATTCCTCGCACGCTACAAACATTTTTATTCATTGTTGGTATAGCACACCGCTTTACCTCCGATAGTCGCGGATTCGATTCCTCGCACGCTACAAACATTTTTATTCATTATTGGTATAGCACACCTCTTTACCTCTGATAGTCGCGGATTCGATTCCTCGCACGCTACAAACATTTATTAATTTGGGTTTTCTATAGTTATATATTGTGTGTAATTAGAAAAAAATGTATTTAAGTATATCTATCAGTTGTCTAGTGCCCATAACACAAGATCTCCTTAACTTGGGGCTAGATGGCATTCTGTGAATAGTCTATGGAAAGTGGATTGATGTAAAGGGAGGGGACGCCCTAAGAAAAGATGGATGGATTGTGTGAAAGATGATATGAATAAAAGTTGTATGTTATATGACAGATATGACGACCGATAGAGAGCAGTGGAAGAGAATGATATACTGCGACGACCCCAAATAATGGGATAAAGGCAAGGCAATGATGATGAATGTATTTACGAGTATGAATATCTCTTCATATTGCAGGTTCCACGTGTCTCTAACTAACATGCCCATTATGGCGACAGAGGAGGCAGGCTTCTACTTGGGACATAGATTGGTGAGATACCTTTTTTTATAACTATTTATTGATATATTACTTTTATATTGTATAGAAAAATTCTTCATAATATCCGTCCCCCCGTTCAGAAGGGTGATGAGAGGCGTGTGAGATTGTTCCCCACTATAAAAGCACTCGGTGTACCTATGAGAGTCATTGCCGGAGTTATGAGGTCTGGTTATCATTCTACCGCAACCTTGCTGTTGACGAGTGCTGCTTGTAGGGACTGGTCTGCTCCTATCACTACGACTGATTTAATCTTATTCTGTTTTTATATTTGAGCCCAAATAAATTAGTGCTGGTTGGTAGTTTGTATTCTCACGTTTCGACTTGTAAAATGTGAACTTACAAGGATTGATTAAAAGAGCAACACACAAGTTTCTTGCTTATTCTTCTTGTGATGAGACAGCTTTCCGAATAAGCGGTAGATTTAAAAAATGTTGACTATTCAAAAGTGCTTAAATTAAGTTTATTTGAATAAATGATTTTCTATTGTATTCTATATTCTATTCTTTGCCGGCGTTGGTCCGTTTTGTAGATGTTGTAGGTAGACCCATCTCGTTGTTAGGGCGACCTATTTCGCCCTATCCAATTGTGGAAGCATGTGAGTATATGCACGCCTTCGGGACTACTTAGCTAGAGCGCTACCAAACTCTAAAACTAAAGGTCATGTGTTCAAATTAGGACCGAAGTTTTTTCCTAATGAGTTGAGTTTTATCCTAATGCTGTTGGGCGCATCCGCCTTTACAGCTTCACCGGACGATACGGGGCGAGTGGAGATGTCACTCCAAACTAAAGGAAGGACTTATGGGGCGGCTAAAGGCCTTAGTAAACCGAAGAGAAATCTTTTTGTGCCCAGGTTTAGGACACCTTCCAATGGTCGTGGGTTAGATTCTTTTATGATACAAAAATCTATAATGGTGTGTTTAATAGTTTATTTAGTTTTAGTACAAGCTCTTATTTTTATACTAGATGGTGCAGTGTGAACGGTCCTGGACTAATATTTTTTATTACTTCATGTGACAAGCTCACCAGGAATTTGTTACAATGGTTTCCAGGGGGAACCGCGTGGAGGTCGACCTGACATTGTACATTGCTAGCAATGTTTATGCCTTTAGGAATAAAGTATAAGTGAAATATGTTAGCGGACTGTAAACTATTACATTTAATACTTGAAGTTATATTACATAGGAACCTGAGTTATTGAATTAATTAGGTTGCGTGCGATGACATCGTAGGGGCAAGGCAAAGTGAAAATGGCCCGGCCTGGCGGCTGTTGATACTCGTAATCAATACCGCTCGAACATAGACCATACCTGTCTCGTCTACACGCCACTAAGGAACAGGACATTGTCCATTATATCCGTACCAAAAGTGACCTGACATTGAGGGTGACGCAGCTGGAGTCGAGCCACAACGCGAGTTGCAAGGCGTTTGTGGCCCGGGTCCTTAACATGCTGCCCACCTTCATGAAGGAGGACTACTGGCCGAAGAGGATGTACCGGCGCTACCGTGGCAGATTACCGCCGTCAGTACCGTGATCACACAGACAATTCCAACATCTTAATTTTATATTATTTCATGTGTATGTTAGTCTATAAGATATTTATAATATGGGCCTAATAGCCTGAAATGAATAATGTAACAATGATTTCAGCTACAAGACGAGTTCGTCCAATCCCCCCCAATGCCCCCCCACATGATGTCGGTGGCTGTTTGCCGCCTCCAACGTCGAGCCGCACCCCCACTCCCCTCAGACCACAACTATAACGACACGGAGGTGACAACCATACCGGATACCATGATACCCATGACCACAGAACCGGATGAAGACTATGTACTCCCCCCACCGGAGATCAGCTTGTACAGTGATCAACAAGTCATCCTGGATGAATCTGGGTAAGTATATTGTTTTCTTTACGCAATCTTAATGATCTCATCGCCATTGTAGAATAGTAAACTGGGAGGTAGCTCACAGTTTTTAAATAGTCAATACATTTACATTTACTTTAACAATGCAAGTAGATAAAATGGTTATTAAATATGATAAAGAAGCGGATCCTCAGGCAATTAAAATAGAACAAATATAGTAATCATGAATAACTGTTGATGACACTAATATCTATTGTTATTTTCCAGCCCTCTCCTGGATTGGGTCCAGAAAACGATCCAGCACTTCGCGTATGAATTAAACACGTCATACCCTCTCCCTAAATTTGGTAAGATTTATATAATATATAGATAGACTATACTTTATTAGTAACATACAACAAAGGCAATATATTAAAGAACACATGTACAGTTACAATAAGGCGGCCTTATTGCTGAAAGCAATCAAAGCAAAGTAACATTTATACCTATTTCGTATATAAAATTATTACAGGCATTACGGTAATGTTTATTAATATAAAACTATTACTTTATATATTTAAATTATTAAGTTGTAGCATTACGGATATCACTTCATCACTTTAGCGTTATATATGATGTGATGTAATAATAGTACTACATTAGTAAGTTTATTTGATAGTATAGCTACGTGGCTTATTAGTTACATGTATATTTGACGCGGAGTCGTAACGTGGACTGACTTTACACTGAACTTAAATCTATATTATCTGGAAAGATATTAATGGAAGGGTCTCGAGTGTTGGCAGAAATATTACAAGTGTAGGCACAAAGTTAATGATTATATACTAGTATAGGAACATATTGATGAATATTTTTAATTTCATTATTCGCGGAAATATTGTTAAATTAATTTTATAATTGTGTGTTGTATATTAAGGTTTCTTACGAGTTAGCAATGCACACGTAACATCTCTGATGTTTCACGCGTCCACAGACTATATGCTTGATTACCACCAGTGTGGTATATAAAAGATAAAACTTTTTTTAGATATTGTGGTGGTGGAAGGTGGTAACTCGTACTCTGAAGGTTGGGGTCTCATTACCCTGGCTCCGTCCACGCTAACTGATACCAAAACTATTGCCAGGTTGCTGGCACAGCAGGTATGTATACAATATGTTTAACAGAATTTTTAAATTTTATTGGGATTTTGCGTGAAGATTAATTATGATATAATAATAATGACTCCAGACAATTTATACATTTTAATGTATGGTAAAAATTCAATAGTCTGTCTCCCGGCCAGAGGGAATGTGAGAGGAAGTGTTGGGTTCTTATTCACTAAAAAACCACCCGGTGTACCTACAAACCCCATTGCCGAAGTCGTGAGGTTGCGTTAGTATTCTACCGCGACTCCGCCGGCGTTGGCCGCCCTGTAGATGGTGTAGGGCGGGCCCCATCTCTTTGTTAGGCCGACCTATTTCGCCCGACACAATTGTAGAAGCGTGCGGCCCCATTTAATTTACACAACTGCCAGTCCCAAGCAGAACTTGTATTATGGGTACTAGACAACTGATGTTATTGTTTTTGTAAATATATAATATACAGATTAAACACCCAGACCAATAGAAACAATCATACTTATGAATATTGAATAATGTTTGTTGCGAGAATGGAACCCGCAACTATCAGCAGTAAACTGATATGCTAAACCACTGAATTACAGAAGCCGTCTAATAGGCTAATAAACATTTGTAGTGGGGTTGTTGTTTCAAAATATTTTTTAATTTAATACACATATATTTCACTAAAACAAAGATTAAATTACCTTTTTTATAAAACAAATGATTTGGTGTAATGTTTCATAAAACGCCTATTTAAAATATATTGGTGTTTGAAAGAAAAAAATAGATGATTTGTAATTGAATACCGTAAAATTACTGTATATATGGATACCACAAAAAATGTATTTTATACAAAGATTTGGTCCATATGTGCAGTGGTTTGGAGGGTTGGTGTCACCACGCTGGTGGAGTTCCCAGTGGCTGATGGAGGCCCTGACGTCAGTGCTCGCTGAGAAGGCGCCCCCACTTGGAGATGTCATCGCCGAGCGACCACTCGACACCCTGCTCCTTGACCACGTTTTACCAGCTCTTAGGTGAGGACTATTTCTGAACGTGAAACAAAAACGTGCGTACGTGCTTGATTTCCACATATATTTAGAATTATTTTGCGTGTATGCATACATGCGTGGGTGCGTGTGAGTGTGTTTCATACTTGATATATGAATTAACTACTATCTTGCCTTCTACATATATAATTATTCTAAACTCGGGTATTGATATATTTTCAGGCTGGATTCAAGCAATTCAGTGCGCGCGGTAGCATCTCCGAGGTTGGATAGGGCCGACATAGAGGCCACCACTGACGATCTTTCACTGCACAAGGTATTGTATTCAGGCAATTGTTTATCACTAGACCATTTATGATGCTTGATACATATAGTGAACTGGGGTTTATAATGCTGTTGACCACAGTTGCTTTATCGAACGACCCTATCGTTCGATAAAGCAGTGCAGGCGAGTGCACATAGCACTCCAAACCCGCAGAAGGACTTATCGAGCGACTGAAGGCCAACTCCCGCCTGAGGGATACGATTTTAGTTTGAGGGCATTATATATATCTACGGGTTCGAAACTCGGCTCAGGCCGTCGTAATTTCGATCCACATTTGAATTGGACGGTGAATCCATAGGAAAGGAAAACGATGGTGGTACATAAGTCATCATCATCATCATCTGCTTCATCCTTATCCCATTTATTTGGGGTCGGCGTAATATGTTTTTCGTTTCCATTCATCCCTGTTCGCAGTCATCGCGTTATTTACTTCCTTTCTTACCATATCATCTTTCACATCCATCCATCCATCTCTTTTTTGGCCTTCCTCTGCCCTTATAACCATCCACATTCATTTGTAACATCTTTCTTAAAATATTATCCTCGTTCCTACGCATTACATGGTGGTACATAAGTATAATATGAAAATATGATGTGGACCGTGGGTCGGTTGTTTGTTTGTTCGTTGGCCTGTGGTGCGTGCAGGGCGCGGCCATCGTGAGCATGGCGGTGGAGGCGGCGGGCGAGGCGGCGGGCCGCGCCGCGCTGGCCCGCCTGCTGCGGCTGCACCGCGCCGCCAGCGCGGACGCCAGGTTCATTCTCACTTGTATTTTATTCACCACACTGACCATCATCTGCTTCTTTATCCCGTTTACTTGTGGCCGGTGTAATACATTTTTCTCTTCCATTCATCCCTGTTCGCAGTCATCTCGTTATTTAGTACCTTTCTTACCATATTTTATGTGCCATATGGTTTATCGTACTATAACTTACTGTAAAGATGTATGAATTGAGTGAGTAGTATTAAAACTATTGATTATAACAATAAAGCATTCAGTATGCACTTAAATGTCGTACCTGTCATTTGCCTAACGAGTACCAACCACCCATATGCTACTTCAAAATATAAAAAAAATGTAGTTACCATATTGGCCATGTGGTTTGGCATACCATATTACATAGTTTGTAAAGTATAAATTTTACGGTTATTACGCTAGCTATGTGATTTAGCATACTATATAACCTACTTATTTAGCATTTTTTACAATTACCACGCAGATCTTAAGGCCTGGAATATAGTATATCATATATTATCTATTTAAAAATTATACAATTACCACGTTATGTTCTTTAGTACACCATATGTTGGAGAATGCAACCTTTTAGATTGATTTTTTTATATATTATTGTATTCAATATTTTGACGTTATGTTCCTTATTCTGTATACTGATTGTTTTTCTAATGTCATTCTTCAATTTTATATATTTGTATACATTAGTTAAAAACGGGCATAAGTTTTAAATATAACATTGATATTGTTATTATAGGGATTTATGGAGGGCGCTGGAACGTGATGATGCCACGGAGAGTACTGCCGGTGCTGGTGGTGGTGGTGGTGGTGGTGGTGGTGGTGGTGGTGGTGTGGGTGGTGGCGGCGGTGGTGGCGCGGCTGGTGCGGCGTGGGACGGGTGGTGCGAGCGCGCCGGGTACCCGCTGGTGCGGGCCGCCTCCCGCGGGAACGACGTCGTCCTGCACCAGGAACGGTAACCTGCTCACTGCCGTCGTAGTACTCTTGCTACTATCAACTTAATATTAATTAGTTTAATACCGACCAACTTAATATTAATATATTTAATACTAACCGACCTAATATCAATCAATACAGAACAAAATCAACTTAATGCCGATCGACTTAATATTAATCAACTTTACAGCGATCAACTTAATACCAACCGGCATGATACTAACCAACTTATTGCGCCGTCGACAGTTTCGTGATGTCTGCTGACCCACCGGAAGTAGACCCGCCGATGATGACCGACTTCCTCACCCAAGATCTCAGGGCTGATCTTGATTTGCTGTTTTACGAGCCTGGTAAGTTACAGTCACATGAATCCATGAAATAAGTTTGATCGTGGCAGTGAAACTACAGGGTATAGAGAACGAACAACTTTAAAGATGCCGATCATGCGGTGCCACTAAGATGTTATGCCTTTGATTCACTGCCTAATCTGTACCCTACACCCGAAACACATCCTAAAAAGCAAGAAATCTAAGATATCATGCCTCTTATCCTAATTTCATTGCGCAATCTGCACCATACAACCGAAACAGCTTAAAAATCAAGCAGCTTGGCGGCTGAAATAGTTTTTAAGATCGTACCCTTGTAGACAACTTTTTACAAAGTCTACTTATATTTTTTTTTCAGAAAATCTAACAGAAATAATAGAAGACGAGAATAGCACGACGACGACACCACCACCGACCACGAAGCGCCCCACCACAGTGAAACCAGGCCCCACCACCGGGCCTCCGCCGCGGTGGACCATCCCCCTCACCTTTGTGGTGGGCCCTCTTCTCCCAATAGAGGAACCCGATAACGTGACCAAAGTGTGGAAGAATGTGACAGAAGCTGTTCACAATACTACCTGGTAGGTTCTAAATACATAGTACTGACGGCCTCGATGATGAAGCGGTTTAGCACACCGCTTTACTTCCGATGATCGCGATCTGTGTGATCTGCGTCTGATATGTATTTGTATCAGAGGCATTTTTTTTCGTAGTAAATACATACTCGTATATAGTATAGTATAAAGTTCGTGCGCGCGCACTCTTCGTTACGGACGTATTATATTATATTATCCGTTAAATTTGATCTGCATTTAATATTGTGTATTAAGATAGTTATTATCATGAATCAGTGTAAAAAGTTCAAATAAAATCAAAGCAAATTGTTCGCATCAACGAACAAGCAGTAAAAATAAATTGTATATATGTAATACTTATAAATAAAAAAAAGTATACATAGAAAACATACGGTCTGTGACCGATACAAACAATCACACTCATGAATACAAATGTTTGTGTAGTGCGAGGAATCGAACCCGCAATCATCGGATGTAAGGCCGTGTGCTAAACCGTTGATCACCGAGGCCGCCGTGGCTCAGTAGTAACGCATACATTCGACGCGGAGTCGGTACGTAGACTGTACTTAAATGTATGTTATCTGGAGAGGTAAACTAATGGAAGGGTGCCGAGTGTTGACAATAATATTAAAAGTGTAGGCACAATTAAAATAAATAAGTATGATTAATAAAAACATTTTAAAATAATATATTAATTTCCTCTCTTTCGGAATACAACTTCCGAGAAGAATAAGCAAGAAGCTTCTCTATTGCTCTTTTAAACAGATATAGTTATAATCATAACATAATATAAATGGTTATTATTATTTTATGTTACAGGTACGATGTAGGTAATGATACCAAAGCAGCAAGAAGTTCAAGATGGGCTGAGAACGTCACGCATCTGATATGGATGAACGAAACTGAGAGTAAGTAGCTATAGTATATATATGAAACATACGTCACGTACATCACTTGAGGGGTAATGTTACGAGTGGGTCAAAATACAGTTTAATAAAAAAAACAATTATTTCTATGTTATGCAGAAGCGCTTTTCTGCATAATATTGAAATAATTATCTTAGGAATATTCCTAATAGACTAACTTTTTTTTTGTGTCTTAGCCGAAACCGCGAGTAATTGGAAAGGGATAAAGACAGTGTATTATTATTCAGAAAGCTAACACCACGATTTCAGAACTATTCTTTAGAATCATGTTTGTCAAACTGTAACAGTGGCGCAAACGTCACATGAGGGGTACCGCAAATGTCACATGAGGGATACCTCAAACGTCATATGAGGGGGTACCTCAAACTTCACAAGAGGGCGTACCGCAGACGTCACATGATGACGTGATATGATCAATGATCCGTGCCTCCGTTCATGTGTATAGGTGAGGTTACAACTTACAACAAAGTGGTGTGATTTGCCATTCTAGTTGTAATAAAAATAAAAAAAATATCGATATTGGTGTTCTCACAGTGGTGATCCCCGACCTGGGTAAGCACAAGTGGGTCCGGTACAACGTGGGAGCCCGGGGGCTCTACAGGGTGGCGCCGCACTCGCCCGCCGGCGACGGCGCTGAGGTGAGTCCAACTAACATGAACTATTGACGGCCTCACTGCCAGGTTTAGTGTCACTTACGATGGTCACATGTTCGGTTCCTCACACGGTATAAATATTTGTTTTCATGAGTATGATTGTTTGTATTTGTTTGTCTGGTGTTATCTATGTACATTATGTACGTATTTATGAAAAAAATGTATCTTAATTATTTATATCGGTTGTCTAGTATCTATAACACAAGCTCTGCTTACCGTGGGACTGAATTGTGGTAGAGTTATTAATATTATTATTAAAAAACTGGTTATCTCTAACATATAAAAATTACAGCTTGACCCATTGTTATGAAATTTTGAAGGAGAATAGGACGTAAACTATTATTGATAGGTGTGAACTCCAAAAATTTAAGTTTATAAAAAAAATATTTAGATTTGATACGTATTATCTATATTTACACAAACAGACAGAAGAAGAAGCAGCTAAACGCGCTGCAGAGTTATACGACAGCGGCGCCCCGGCGGAACGGGCTCTCCTTCTAGATGATGCTTTCGTGCTGAGTCGTGCTGGTAGACTTCCAGCCAGCAGGGCCATAGCAGCTGCAAGTGAGTTCCTGTTGTGAATGAATGAATGAAATTCTTGATTGTTCCTCTCATAGAAACTACAGTTAAATATACAAATTGTAGCGTGGTGGTTATCCTCCACCAGTGTAACGTTATATATGATGTAATGAGGTGTCGCTACATAATATATTGTTTATTGTAATATGTAGGATAACATAATATTACATAAATTATCCCATACAAGAAATTGGTACATTAGTAAGTTTATTCGGGCTGGGCTATTTTATTTCGCCACCGTAGTGTGCACATAGCTTATTTGTAAACAAAGCATGAAAATAGACGTGGAGTCGTAACATGACATGATTTGCAAAGATATGTATATAATGAACTTAAATGTATATTATCTGAAGGACGATTCAAGATTAATGGAAATGTGGTCTCGAGTGTTGGCAGAAATATTACAAGTTAATAATTATAATCTGAAATATTCTTAAGTTAATGAGTATATTTTAGTGAATGAATTTATTTATTGTAAATAGGAATTTATTGATAAATATATTCAATTTTATCAAAAAGATGGTTGTACAATCTGACTGTGTTTCATCTACAAAATATCAAATTAAGTTGTAGATAAAAACTACTATATTAATTCCAGCGCGCCTCAGCACAGAAACCCACTGGGCTCCATGGCGAGTGGTGCTGAACCATCTATCCTGGTGGAGAGAACTGCTCAGGTTTAGCTTGTCTGGACCTCAGCTCAACAAGCTATTGAGTAGCATCCACCCGCCCAATGTGAAGATATATAGCCCCAAGGAGATCGAGAGTGGGAGACTCAGTGAAGATGAACTGTGAGTTAACCCTTTACTTACGCCCTCTGTGGTCTAGCGGTTTAGTACACCTCTTTACTTCCGATGGTTGCGGGTTCGATTGCTTGATACAAGCAATAAGATATTTATGTATATACAGAAATGTATTTAAGTGAGTTTTTTAGAACTTTAACTTATTTAATCTTTCAATTACATTTCTTCTTTTTATTTCTAGATGGCTCAGTGGTGCCCTCCTGACCGCCGGCGTGGAATGGGAGAACCCAAAAGTCACGAAACAAGCTGTGAAATTATTCGACGCGTGGCTCAACGATAACCAAACTATACCAGATATATACCAAGAGGTAACAGATTTATTTGTATTTATTATTTAAGATAATTGATAATTTATTTTTAGGAATTTATTTCTTTTCTTCTTCAACTTTTCGTTCATGTAACTTGTTACAAAGAGCTCACGGACAAAGATAAGGTTATTCTATATCCGGCTCGAAGGACGTAGTTGGAGCTTTTGTAGTTTAAATGATACAAATATTGATATTTAAATTTGTTTAGTAGCTCATTCGTTATAAAGTATAATTTTATGACTGAATTTGCTGCTGCATTAAGAACAAGTGGCGGTCGGCTTCGTTAGGGGCTTGTCGGTGTCTTGCGGACGGTCTCCGCTTTAGCGCTGCTGTTTCATTACCTTAGGGTACTTTGTATTTAACAGTAAACATATATAATATAAATCTCGACGGTACATTTAAAGCGAAGTCTTACGGTTAATTAATTTTTATTTTTATTAAAATTCAATTGGTTAATGGTTGAGAACAAATTGCAAAAAAATATATGTGCTGTGATACATAGTAGAAGTGAAACTTCAACGGTCAAAGTGGCTGAGTACACGTCGTTGAAATTTTAGAGGACTCCTGGCTCACCGCGCGCTGCGCGTTTCCCTCTGTTCTCTCGTCGCCGTCACAAACCTATCTTTTTCTCACAACGTGATATATCGTCTACCCCTCCACGCGACGGTGGAGGATGCGTTTTCGTGACCGAAAAATCCTAATACGGCTCGTCTATATAGAAGTCTCAATTCCAAAACTTGTCACGTCCGACCGCGGCGTCGCGGCGAGCCGCGGTGTCACTCGCGTCGCGTCCGAGACGCTCAAATAAAGCCCGCACCGGACGATGCGCAGGCCGCGTTCACTGCGGGGGTGCGCGCGCGCGGCCCGCCCGCCTGGGACGCCTGCTGGCGCGCGCTCGCGGCCGACGGCGCCGCCCCGCGCCCGCCGCACGGCCACCGCGCGCTGCTCGCCGCGCTCGCCTCGCCCGCCGACGACTGGCTCCACACCAGGTGCCTGCCGCTCTGTGTACGCTGTACGCTGTACGCTGTACGCTGTACACCCGCGTGATACATGAGTACGTGCGCCGCCCCGCGCCCGCGGCACAGCCACCGCGCGCTGCTCGCCGCGCTCGCCTCGCCCGCCGACGACTGGCTCCACACCAGGTGCCTGCCGCTCTGTGTACGCTGTACGCTGTACGCTGTACGCTGTACACCCGCGTGATACATGAGTACGTGCGCCGCCCCGCGCTGGCACATGATATTAGCGCTGCTCGCCGCGCTCGCCTCGCCCGCCGACGACTGGCTCCACACCAGGTGCCTGCCGCTCTGTGTACGCTGTACGCTGTACGCTGTACGCTGTACACCTGCGTGATCACCTATTTCAGCTACCAAGATATTTTGTAAGCTATGCTTCGGTTGAAGTGGGAGGTACAGTGACGAAATGAATTTAATGACATTTTAGCCCTTCGAAATGACAACGGGTAAGTCGTTCCAACGCAGTTACATGACAACATGATGTAAGTAGTCCAGTTAATGTGAGCGACGGTTACCACTTACGAGCTGGGCAGTCAGCGTTTGCCATTTCTGTTGGATGACATAAAAGTTATAAGAGATGTATTATCCGCAGGTTCGCGTGGACGGCGCTATCGCGGGAAGCTCGGCGCGGGCGTGAGTGGCGAGCGTGGGCCACCGCACTGCTCGCCGCCGCATGCAGGTGGGTCGCACCTTCAATTCAAAAACATTCGATCCTTTAATGTGGATGTTTTTTAGGTTTACGCTTAAATGTATATAAGGCGAAAACTGTTTGTTCATTTGTTTGAACGTTAATGTTTTGCTTCAACAGATCTGAAGGATTTATGATAAAATTTTCACAGAATATGTCGTTAAATATCAATCAAAGTATAGGTGTGTGCTGTGAAAAATATCCTCCAAAATGGGTAATAATGAATTAAATTAGCCCCGGATAGCGAAATATTTATAAAAGGTAGGTTTCACTTTACGGGTGGTTGTGTGTGTGTGACCGTGCGTGAGTATGTGTGTGGGGACATATCATGTGCTTGGCGTATCGCCGGCGTTTTGGGTGCACGTGTTCAGTGTGTGTGACGGTGCGTGTGTGTGCAGGTGGCGCGGCGCGGGCGGCGTGTGGCGCGTGCTGCCCGACCCGCCGCCGCCGCTGTGTGTGTGTGACTGTGTGTGACTGTGTGTGACGGTGCGTGTGTGTGCAGGTGGCGCGGCGCGGGCGGCGTGTGGCGCGCGTGACTGTGTGTGACTGTGTGTGACGGTGTGTGTGTGTGCAGGTGGCGCGGCGCGGGCGGCGTGTGGCGCGTGCTGCCCGACCCGCCGCCGCCGCTGTGTGTGTGTGACTGTGTGTGACGGTGCGTGTGTGTGCAGGGGGCGCGGCGCGGGCGGCGTGTGGCGCGTGCTGCCCGACCCGCCGCCGCCGCTGTGTGTGTGTGACTGTGTGTGACTGTGCGTGTGTGTGTGCAGGTGGCGCGGCGCGGGCGGCGTGTGGCGCGTGCTGCCCGACCCGCCGCCGCCGCTGTGTGTGTGTGACTGTGTGTGACTGTGTGTGACGTGTGTGTGTGCAGGTGGCGCGGCGCGGGCGGCGTGTGGCGCGTGCTGCCCGACCCGCCGCCGCCGCTGTGTGTGTGTGACTGTGTGTGACTGTGTGTGACGGTGCGTGTGTGTGCAGGTGGCGCGGCGCGGGCGGCGTGTGGCGCGTGCTGCCCGACCCGCCGCCGCCGCTGTGTGTGTGTGACTGTGTGTGACTGTGTGTGACGTGTGTGTGCAGGTGGCGCGGCGCGGGCGGCGTGTGGCGCGTGCTGCCCGACCCGCCGCCGCCGCTGTGTGTGTGTGACTGTGTGTGACTGTGTGTGACGGTGCGTGTGTGTGCAGGTGGCGCGGCGCGGGCGGCGTGTGGCGCGTGCTGCCCGACCCGCCGCCGCCGCTGTGTGTGTGTGACTGTGTGTGACTGTGTGTGACGGTGCGTGTGTGTGCAGGTGGCGCGGCGCGGGCGGCGTGTGGCGCGTGCTGCCCGACCCGCCGCCGCCGCTGTGTGTGTGTGACTGTGTGTGACGGTGCGTGTGTGTGCAGGTGGCGCGGCGCGGGCGGCGTGTGGCGCGTGCTGCCCGACCCGCCGCCGCCGCTGTGTGTGTGTGACTGTGTGTGACGGTGCGTGTGTGTGCAGGTGGCGCGGCGCGGGCGGCGTGTGGCGCGTGCTGCCCGACCCGCCGCCTCCTCTGCCGCCGGCCGCGCTGCTGGCGGCCGCTCGCTGCCTACATCAGCCCACAGACTACTACCGGGTGAGTATCACTTCATCATCGAGGTCACGATGCTTTAATTTTTTTTTTTTCGAACTATTCTACTGAGGTTCGACGGTAGGGGGCGAGTGCAGATGCCACTCCAAACCCGATGAAGAACTTATGTAGCGGCTGAAGGCCAACTCTTACCTGCCTGATACGACTTTAGTTTGAAGGTACCGCTAGAGGTTCGAACCCAAATCGGGCCGTCGTAATTTCGATCCTCGTTTAAGTCGGACGAGGGACCGATCGGAGTCCTAATAGTAGGGACATTTTTAATAATGGAGAACACTATTATTAGAATCGTCTTTGCTAGTAAAATCGTCAAATTTTAATTGTTCATATGTGATCTGTGTTTCCGTAACCGGAAACGTCTTCCGTCCACATACTCCGCGAAATGGTGGGTAAGTCGAGCATCGAGCCCGCGTCCTCTGACTGCCCCATGTGGGCGGCGAGTGGTAGAGTACAGAGTAGATGGTGTGGTACGGACGCAGCTGAAGGCGCTGTACGGGTCGTCCCGCGGCGGCCCGGCGGCGCTGGACGTGGCGGCGCTGAACGCGCGCTGGGTGCCGCGCGCCGACCGCGACCTGCACCGACACTTCGCCGCGCTCGCGCCGCGCTAGGGCCGCCGCCCACGCGCCGCGCTCGGCCATGCATTGCACTTCCGTCACCCCGCACGTCGGACGGTCGAGTGCGCAGGGCCGGCGCAGGTGACTCCGGTTTCGAGTTCTTTTGTTTTTTATCGTGTGACAAAATCTTTAAAATATGGTCACCCCGTCTATGGGGTGCCGGGGGGGATGTGTGGGATTGTTGCCCATTAAAAAAACGATACGACGTAGCTAGAAGCGCCATTGCCGGAGTCGCGAGGTTGCGCTTGCATTTTACCGCGACGCCGGCGGCTCGGTTCGATGCCCTTCGACAATTTTCAGGCAGAGTTAGCTGAACTCCCGCGCCGTGGGCTTAACCAGCTTCTAGGTTCGTCTAAAGGAAAGGGGGGATTAGGTTTGCTGCTTGTCCAAGGGGTCAAGTTTTATTCTGACCCTCTGACATTTTTCAGGGACCTGCCCTCCCCTGTCCTATTTATGATTTTGATTACCGTACGGTAAATGTCACATGAAAGCGTTCCGATTCATATTTAATTTTTATTTGTTCAGTCATATTTATTTCCAATTTAATGACATGTAATATTATTAACCACTTTAACGTGACATTACCGTACGGTAAATGTCACACGAAAGCATTTCGATACATATTTAATTTTTACTTGGTCACTATTTGTATTTTTCTCAATTTAATGACACGTAATTTTATAAACCACTTTAACGTGACTAATTAAATGTCATTAAACAATATTAACATTCATTAAATGTTATATATATATATATTTTTATATTTATTTTTATTTACAATTTAATGACATGTAATTTTATAAACCACTTTAACGTGACTAATTAAATGTCATTAAACAATATTAACATTCATTAAATATTATATATATTTTTTTATATTTATTTTGATTTACAATTTAATGACATGTAATTTTACTAACCACTTTAACGTGACTAATTAAATGTCATTAAAGAATATTACCATTCATAAATTTCTTTAAATGTCATGTTTATATTTTTTTAATTATTAATAATTTGAGTTACTGATAATTTTATGTTGTGTGCAATAAATGTAAACATTATATTATATCAAAATAACATCTCATATGATAGATCTATCTACTTATCTCATAAGTTCGTTGTATCTACTTATAGAATATCTGTAAATTTTGCTAGAAATTGTATAACTTAAAATATAATCTTAAGATCTATTTTGTATCTTACTGCTCATCAGCGGCCATATTTGTGTAATAAAGTTAAAATATATATGGGGTGTCAACATAACTTCATAACCTATTAGTTTTTTTTTTCTTCGTAGAAAAATATTCAAAATTAATTCCTGTTAGTCATTAATTTCTTAAAAGTAAGTAGTTAAGAATATTTGAAATTTCAAATATATTAATATTTATTTTACATGTATTAATGTGATTAATGTTGAAATTATTAATTAATCTTTTTTACATTATAATAATTAATTATTAATTGAGTGTGTCAGGTAAGAAATGAAATGTTTTCTCTTTATATTAGTAGTTTATGTGAAGTAAAGTCGAAAGTCATTATTAGCTTAAGTATTTATTTATAAGAGCATAAATTACATGTTGTAAGTATATTTTTAGAATAATTTTAATAAAAAAAATACTTAATAATTCGTGATATCTCGTACATTATAAGTACTTATATCAATTTTTAAATCATCAATTTTATCATAATCGATTGTGAACATTGGCACCCCGTATATGCATATTAAAATATAAAACTTAATTAAAATATATGAATACATACTTAGTTAATTGCAATATTGATGAATACTAAAGTCTGTATGTAATATGGATCTTAACAAATCCACAATTAATACAAATATTATATACTTATGCGATAATGAGTTTGTCTGTACGTTTGTAGCCTTATTGCGGCTAAGTAGGTAGAATGGATCATAATTTCATTGACTCTTCCTTTTATAATACTTTGTATGCTTTTTGCCTTTATCAAAATATACCTTTACGTCAAAATACGTGAAGATAGATTCAGGGAAAGGCAAAAAATTTACGTGTAGGTAGGTATATTAAGATAAAAGTAAAAAATTGATGTGACGTTATATTCAAATAAAGGCAAAAAAGCAGACGAATTATTTATATATAAATGGAAGAGTCAGTTTGTTTGTCATGCTCAATCTATCATGGTTGATTGTATACAAAATCTGTTTATAATTGCAATACGGTAGAGTTGCATATATTTTGGTCAGGCTTTATATCGTCGCTTATTGCGGAAAAGTCATGGGCATTGCTAGATTTTCGTATAATTTCAGACTAAAATATTCTCGTTTTATTGCTAAAACTATCAAATCAAATCAAAATATATATATATTCATGTAGATCTAATACAGACTCATAATTTGTTAAAATCTATCGTCAGTATGAAGAGCATTCGGGCTAAGAACTGACAAGAAACTCGGCTTTTATTCTATCTAGAACATTCTTATGATATGTTTATAAATTTGTGAATTGGTTTGTGATAGTAATCAGCTTCATAGTAATGTAAATCAGTATTAAACAGTTAAGTTAATGAATATAGAAACGCAGTGGGAGGTTTCTTTACCTTTCTCCCTCGCCGCTAATATATATTTATATGTATAAACAAGGAACTTTATTTATGTAAGGCAGGTGTAATAAATCCTCATTTGAAACCGATAGAAACTCAGAATATTTCCATTATTCACAAAATCACATGTGTGTAACGGATTGTCAAACTGTTTTATCGAAAGAAGGTTACTGCTGTGTTATTTTATCAAACCTAAGTTATATATTCGGGCTGTACCGTAAAGGATGCGATAATTAAAATTCAGCGATAGACCTTATGAATAATTTTCTCCTAGGAACGTCCGTCGAAATATGAATGTTTTTTTAACTATAATTGATTTTGTATATATATATATATATATAAGTTTAAGTTTCTGTAAATATATATTTATGAAATATTGTGTGAAGTATATTTCGAACAATTGTCAAGTGCCCATTGTGTGGCTCCAGATTTGCTTAGTTTGGGACTAGGTGGCGCTGTGAGAATTATCCGGAATTAATTATTTGCTATTATTTATTTATTAAATTTAATTGTTGTAACAATTAAATTTAATGACATGTAATATTGTAAACCAATAAACAATATTAACATTCATTAATTTTTAGTTCTGCTTAGTTTTTTAAATATATTTTTTATTATAATTACAATTATCATAATTATAACTATAATAAACAATAAATAAATACATTATTATTTAGTATATATTAAACAAATATTTTGATATTTCGATTGTTTCTTGGAGAAACTGCATTTAGGATTAGAATATATAAAAATAAGTAATCTATGTATGTAGGTATATGTATATATACTTAAATATCTATAATATATAAAGCTGCATTACGGTGACTCACTCACTGATTGACATAGTTGTTCTCCCAGAAGGAGCGTCCGGGGGTCGAGACGATGTATGGGGGAAATGTTCCTTTGGCTAGGGTGACCACGAGAAAATTCCGAAATTTGGGAAAATCCAAGATGGCGGACAAAGATGGCGGCTAACTTTTACAGTTTCGCTCGGATCGATTCCGTTCAAAGAGTGATTTGGCACGTCTCGGCGGGACCCAGAATGTGGCGTAAAAACAAAAAATTAAAATCCAAGATGGCGGCGAAAAAATTGCCAAAAACTGGTTGAAAATTTTCTAGGGCGACAAAAACCGAAATTCCCAGGGTAGTTGCGGGGTGCTGGCGACACCGGTTGTAGGGCATAGGAAACTCGAAGGACCCGACCTCTAGGGAAAATTATGAAATTTCGAAAATCCAAGATGGCCGACGAGTTGGGGGCGTGTGAATTTGGTCCTAAAAATCCGGATTATTTTCAAAATCATTTTTTAGGTACAGGGCAACCCCGCAGCGAGTCGGCTTCTATGGGGCGATGATGGGTCTCGGTAAGAAGTATTGCCAGCGATAAAAAGAATTTCCGAATTTAGGGTAATTTGGGAGAAATGTCCCAAAAAGTGGGAAAAAATTTTTTCGCCATTTTTGACAAAAGAGGCATCAAGGCCTATCGAGAAACATAAAGGGTTTTAGGTGGGTTTTGTTGGAATTTGCTGGCAACACCCATACATGGTTTGACCAAAATAGAAATTGGGGTGTCTCTCCAAAAACTGAAATTCCTAGGGTACTTGCGGGGGAGCTACCGATCCCTATTATAGGGCATTGGGAGGCTGAAAGACCCGGCCTCTAGGGAAAATTATGAAATTTCAAAAATCCAAGATGGCGACCAAGCTATGGGAGATTTAGTTTTTGGAAAAAATTTGGGATATTTTCAATCGAGTTTTTGCTGCACATGGCAACCCTGCATCTAAACGCCACCTACTGACATGGGTAAGTCTGAGTAAGAAGATTTGCCAGGTCTAAAATTTTTCCCCGATTTTGGGTTAATTTTGGAAAAAGTCCCATAAAGTGGGAAATTTTTTTTTTGACATTTTAAATGAAGAACTCGTTTTGGTCTACTACAAATCGTCCCCTGAAGGGTTTTAGGTGGATTTCTTCAGAATTTGCTGGCAACACCCATACATCATCGGACAAATTTTGAAATTGAGGTCTAGCTTCAAAAACTGAAATTGATAGGGTACCTACGAGTATGCTAGCTCAACGCACTGTACGGCGTCGGATAGCCGAAGGACTCGGCCTCTAGGGAAAATTATGAAATTTTAGAAATCCAAGATGGCGGCACAGATAGGGGAGTTTTGCTTTTCGGAGAAAAATTGGGATATTTTTAAATGTAGTTTTAGGACACTTGGCAACCCCACAGCCAGTCGACTACTATGGAGAGATGATGTGTCTCAACACAAAGTATTACCTGGTATAAAAATTTTCCCCGATTTTAGGGTAATTTTTGATATAGGTCCTAAAAAGTGGGAAAATTTTTTTTTAGACATTTCAAACAAAAGAATGATGAAAATCTGTCAAAAACAATCCCCCTATTGAGTTTAGGTGTT